TGAACTCAAAGCTGATTTATTAATAAATCAAACGAAAAATACGCACAATCAAATTGAAGCGATGAAAAAGGTGAATTTTAATAACGATTTTAAATGTGCAATTTCAATTTTTTTTTTTTATTTGTATAAATAGGTCAGTTAAATATAAAACAATAAAAAATAGTTTTTTTTTTCAAAATGAAATTATTATTATTATTATTTCCTCTATTTTTTCAAACTTATTATATTTACTTAAATATAAATTTTTTTTTTTTTTATTAAAAATAGTATTCTGAAGATGTTGAAAAATTGAATGAAGCAGCTTCTCAAAGGCCATATTCGGTTTTAGTTGCCGGTTTACAAAGAGAAAGTCAACATTTAAGAGAATTACAAGCTGAAAATTGTGAATTAAGAAATGCATTAGCAGATCATCAAAATGCAATAGAATTGATCATGTCTAAATACAGACAACAAATTTCACAATTGTTACCAAAAGAAAAAACTAATTTTTATACCATCCCTAATTTATGGCAATGTAACAAAGTAAATTTCCCTTTTTTTGCTTTCTTTCTCAAATAAATTTGTTTTAATTATTGACATGAGCCTTCATAATTATTTTTTTATTTTGTTAAATGAATTAAATAGATTATTCAAGAACAATCGAATCAAATCAATGAAATGAAACAAATAATGAGAGAAGCTGCTAAAGTTGACGAAGAAAATTCCGTTAAAGATCAAGAACTCATATCGAGACTAATGACGGAAAATAAAGTTTGTAATTTTATTTAAATAAATATTAAAATTAAAATTAATTGAAAAATTTAAATTTAAATTTTTTTATTTTACAGGGTTTGAGAGATTTATTATACATTCATAGAACATATGGTCCTTTTATCGAAATGATGGAAAATGATGGGAAAAATAATGATAAGAACGATGAAAGCAAATCGTAATAACTTCACAGTTTGTCCGTTTAAGCAAGCTTTCATATTGACTTAATCCTTCATTCAACAACAACAACAACAACATTTTAATAATCTGTTAAATATTTATCAAAATTGACAGAATAAAAAAATAAATAAATAAACTTGAGGCTTATTTTTTTATAAAAGCCCTTTTCGCTACTACATGAGTAATATGTAATAATTTTTTTTACTTTTTATTCAAAACTTATTTTTTTAAAATACAAAAAAATTTTAAACATTTTATTATTGTGGAAAATTTTTTTTTTTATTATCTAAAAATTTATTATATTGTAATAATTATAATAATAATAATTTTTTTATGATAATATAATTTTATACTGAAAAATGCAATTATGTGTATTTATTTCCCCCCTATAATTTAAATATACATAAATTAACAGTTTAATAAATTATTTAAAAATTAATTTTATTTTATGAGGGCAAAAATTTTCTCATATACTGTATATTGCAGATTACATTTCATAAATATTTATAATAATGATAGTTTTTCTTAACTCTCATACATCTGAATAATGAAAAAATAATAATAATAATACATGTTATAATTGAATATTGAATCGTTAAATACGAAAGGATAATTTCAAATATATAAAAGAGTTTATAATAAAGGCAAAATTAATTTAATAACCCCCTAAAAAAAAAAATATTCCTTATATATAATAAATGAAATGTTCATATTGACACAAATAATAAATTATGAAGTGAGAAAAAAAAAAAATTTATCAAACTCTAGTCGCAGTATATTCTACTGGAAATCGAAAGGAATGCTGACCAAGTGCTAATATATTAGGTAAAATTCCAGCATTTGGTATTATGTTCCAAGATAATGTCAGTGTAACATTTTTATTTCCCCTAAAAAGATTATTATTAAATAATAATAATAATAATTATTAAAATGAAAATTTTTAATTTAATTCGATAATAATGAATTGTGTATATATACTTTAAACCGTTTCCGTCATCCCAAAAGTAATATTTTGTATTCATATTTTTGAAATCCAACATGGCATTTTCACCTCTTAAAATAATTTTATCCCAAAGGACAACTTGATTTAATTTATTATTTGATGTTTCATATTCTGCAGTCAAATAAAGGAACAATTGTTTTACATTCCAATTAAATAAATTTGACAAATCTGTTTGTAAATCAAATGTTATGAAACCTAAATCGTTTCTTTCCCTTGCAGCACTGTAATCGGGTAGTTTTTTTCTAAAATAAAATTTTAATAATATAATTATTTAAGCATACAGTAAAAATAACTTTAGCTCATAAGGTATTTTAATAATTTTTAACTTCATATCAATTATTTTGCGAAAATATTTTTTTCCAAAGATTAAATTCTCTATTTAAATGTGAATATTTAATAATTATCTGAAAACATACACTATAACTTTAACAGTGTTCATAGAAGCTGCCATTCTGTAATCCATGAACACCGTTGAAGCGAAGCAACAAAATGTTAAAACGGCTAAAACACTAAGCGTGTACGCAACAATGGCGTTTCCCCTAGTCAATACTGAATGCATTTTATTTTTCTCTTAATAACTAATTAAATTTAATAAATTTTAAGTTCATTTACTGATAAACAACATCAATATTCAAACCATATATTATTGAACACGTCGATATAACAGTTGTATAAAGGAGCCATATTGGTTTCGTAGACACTGTCGGCAAATTTCAAAACTATCTAGTGACACTTCGCGGGAAATAACGGATTTAAATTTAAATTTAAGCCGAAGGATTTAATTTTTATCAGGTAAAAATTACAAAAAGATTATTTTAAAAAATATTGATAAGGTTTAATCAATGAGTTATTATAGGTTTAATCGATAATAGTTTGTTTGTTAAAAATAAAATGAAAAATATTTTATTTTGGTTATTTGGAACGGTTTCCATAACAAGTATGTGTGTGTGTGTGTGTGTGCTCTATATTAATATTATTTTTTTAAAAAACCGTTAAAAATTTTTTTTTCTTAACTTTTTAAATTCCATTACAGTTTCATTATTTTGTTTTATAAAAACGGAAACGAATTCAATAAAAAATTCAGATATATTAAAATTAAGTAATTCGACATTATATTGTTATCATTTTACATGGATGGGAGGATATTTCAACAATAGAACATTTAAAAACATAATGAATAAAACTTGTTCGCAATATTTTAAAGATAAAAAAACACTTTGCATAAATCCAATGGTTGCAACTTGTAAGTAGGAGTAAATTAATCAAAAAAGTAAATTTTTAATTTAATTTTCTTCATCATTTTTTTTTTTTTTTTGATTTAAGACACGGGTGGGGAACCGGATTTAAAATATATATTGGATAATTATCCAGTGGCTGCCACATGTCGTTTGGCACAAGAACAAATATGTGCCAAGTATACGGTTTATAATAATGGAATAAGTGAGTTCAAATTTATATTTGTTTGTTTTCAAACTCGATCAAACAACAACAACAACAAACATTTTAAATGGATCACAACCAACCATTGCAAATTGCACTAAACAAATTTGGTTGAAAAACAATAAGAAAAAGAATTTTTTCCCTAACAAATATCATTCAACTACTCTAATTTAATCATAAATTAATTATTACTCGGTTGTTATTGTTGTTGTTGCTGCTGTTGCTGCTGTTGCTATTGTTGTGGTTGTTGTTGCTGTTTTGTTAACAATAAATAAATAACAATCATAATCCACGATTTGAAAACTATGATAAGATTAAAAACTGATATGAATGTTTTGTTTTGTTTTAAATGGCGACAAAAATTTAAACTTATTAATTAATAATTTATTTATTTATTTTAATAGTTTCCTACGTGACGAGATATTGCACGCAAATAAATATTAATTTAGAAGGACCCATGCGAACGGGATGCATTCAAGAAAAAAGAAAAAATGAAATAATTGAAGTTTGCGCATGTAGAAGCGTACCTGGACCTGATGGTATATGCAATTCATCGAATACTATATTAATTAATATTTTCCTACATATTTTAATTATTTTAATTATTTATTATCAATATAAATTTTGATAAGAAGAAACATTCTAATACCGTTTACGACGCATTATTTAATTCCCTTTTAAAATAATAATAATAATAATAATAATAATAAATAATATGGAGGATGAATGACAAAAAAAAAAAAAAAAATCTCAAAGGAAATATTTATTGATTAAAGTTTCTCACAATCTATTATACGATTAAAAAAGAAAATTTTAAAAAGTCGTTTTATGTGTGGGGGGAAGGGGGAAGATTGAAAATTATCAATTTTCCATGAGAAAAATTTTTTTTTACTCGTCCATTAAAACAACTGTCCTAACTTGAACCCCCCTTCCCCCCGTGGCACCGACACGGTGTGATGGGTTAATGTATGTACCAAATCCCAAAGGAAAAATTGTTGTTTTGTTATTATGGTGGGAAAGTTTTGTTTAGATTGATCTCATGTAAAAATAAAATTTTCCTTTATTTCAACCCTTTCATCTCCCAATCTCTCTCTCTCTCTCTCTCTCTCTCTCTCTCTCTCTCTCACTCTCACACAATCTCTTATCAATCGGAATAAGGTCATTCGATATTTTATTTCCCAATAAAATTTTATTCAACGTGTTAATTAATTTTTTTTTTTCGTGATGACGTCACACAAACGTCTTATCAATATAATTTAAAATAAATAATAATAATAATCGAAACGGTTTGTAGTAATAAATGGGGGGGGGGGAAATGACAAAAACAAAAGAGGACACCAGGAAAAAAAATGGGGCCGAAAGGACGAAAAGAGACCCTTCGATTTTATATATATATATAATTTGATTTGAAATAATTTTGTTGGAGAGAAAACAGAACAAGGCAAAATAGCAAACGGACGTCACTGGAATAAAGTCTCTGGAGACCGGGAACCATACTTCGTTTGTCTTTTATATTCTTCTTTTTTTTTTTCTCCCGTTTTTTTCTCTCTCTCTCTCTCTTTCTCGTTTTACCCTCAGTTTCGCAGCAAACATTTTCATTTCCTAAGTGAAAATTCGTGTTTTTCTTTTCTTTTCCTTTTTTCTTTTCGTATTATTTTCTTTTTTTTAAATAATTGTTTAACTATTATTAGTACTACTTAGGAAAATGAAATCGTGGAAGAAGAAAAAAAAGAAAAAATAAATAAATTTTCTTTGTCACTATTATTATTATTTTCGTACTTAATATTTAAAATGACGAGAAAATTCGAGTTTTTTTTCGGTGGGGGGAGGGAGGGAGAGGGGAAAGTGCGTAACGAAAGCGTGAAATTATCGAAATCAAACCTTTTTTCTTTTTTTTCCACTTGTTCTCAAAGACACGAGGATGACGATGATGATGATGACGACGATGAAAACACTTGTCTTGGGGGAAATAAAACAAAAAAAAATTTTTTTTGCATTTCAAACTATAACGACAGCAGTTATTTTCGATTAGGGTTATGGTTGTGTACACGTGTGTGTGTACAAAAGAGAGAGAGAGAGAGAGAAAATATACTCTAGAGTGTGTGGATGAGACACACGTTCAAAAACAACCAAATCATTCCGACAATAAAACCAGGTTATTTTTCATTGTATAAAAATCGAACCGAGGAGACAAGTGTATCATTGTTTATAGCACGTGACATCACGCCATCTTGAATTTATTCTTGCATGGTGCGAACTTGCACGTGCACGTCGAAATACATCAAACGTTAATTTTTCTAATTTATCGATTTTGATTTTCCTCCTCCTCATCCTCCTTTTTTTTTCACGAAAATTTTTTTTGACTTTCCACGCACCCGCACACACGCACGCATACTCAAAATTGAAAGAATATTTAAATGATTTTATTGGCGTAAAAAGAAAAAAAAAATTGTTTTTTTTCCGATTGATCGAACAAACGAAATAATTGTAAAAAAAGATTTTTCTTTTCTTTTTTTGTTTGGGGGGATGGAGGGGAGGGATAAGGGAGGGAGAGAGAGAGAGAAATTTTTTTTTGTTAAATAAGAATAAAAACATTGTTTTTTATCATCATCATCATCATCATCTTGTTTAATTTTGGCGGTACTGAATTTGTAAATACGGTTTAGAATTCACCCCAAGCAATGATTAGAGTGACTATAGCCCTTGACAAGCTCCCGGAGATCCCAATGTTTGAAGAGCTAATGAGCTCTACTAACTCTTCCGCCCCTTTTTCCTTTTCTTCATCCTTTTTCTCATATAACTTTCTCTAAACTAACCTTTCATCTTTCTCTCTCTCTCTCTCTCACTCTCACACAGAGACTCTTTCCTTTTCCTTTTCCTTTTATACACTCCACACACACACACACTCATATATATATTATTTTTTTTATATTTTACATCTTCGACATAACAAAAAGCATAACCTAACGACTTTATTAATTAATTAATTAATTATTTTTATTATTATTATTATTATTATTTTATTTTTTAGTTAAAAAAACTTTTTTCTCTTTTTCGCAAAATTGTTAAATTAAATTAATAAATATTTTCTACCACGTTTTTTCATAATATTTATTTTAATTAATTGCTTCGAGGGATTTTTTTTTTTTTTTTGGACTTTTCCTTCAGAATTATTATTATCATTTTTAACTCATTCATTCATTCACTCATTAGAGCTCATTCAGAATTATTATTATCATTTTTAACTCATTCATTCATTCACTCATTCATTCAATCACTCATTCATTCCGTACTTCTTTTTATTAAAAAAACTTTTACCCAAATTATTAACTTCGAGGGATTTTTTTTTTGGACTTTTCCTTCGGAATTATTATTATCTTTTTTAACTCATTCATTCACTCACTCATTCATTCATTTTCTTATTCATTTATTCAATCATTCATTCAATCATTTCCTACGTGTTTTTTTTTTTTTCAATTACTGTTACCCAAATTATTAACTTCGAGGAATTTTTTTTTTTTTTTTTTTTTGGACTTTTCCTTCAGAATTATTATTATTATCTTTTTTACTTATTCATTCACTCACTCATTCATTCATTCATTCATTCGTTTGTTCATTCAATCACTCCGTACGCGTTTTTTTTCAATAACTTTTACCCAAATTATTAAAGACTACGTAAAAATGGGAGCCAGAAAAAAAAAAAAAAACAAAAAAAATATTAAACAATAATAATAATAATAAATTTTCCCGTATATTTTACGTTTCCTTCGAATTTTATTTATATTAATTTAAAATTTTAATAAATTATTATTATTATTATTATTATTATTATTATTATTAAATTTAAAAAAAAAAAAGTCAAAATAATTCTCGAGCAACAAGTTGTTTAAAAAAAAATTTTTTTTCATTATTAAATTATTTATTTATTTATTATTTATTTTATTGTTAATTCTTTACTATTATTATTATTAATGCATTATAAAATTATTGAAAATTCTTATTTATTATCATTATTATTATTATTATTATTGGGAAAAATTATACGTATGGAAAAATGACAAATATTAAATAAATAAATAAAAAAAAAACAAAAAAAGAAAATTATTAACGAATTGTTCGAATTTTCCTTTTTATTATGGAAAACAATGTACGTGGAAATTTCTAGAACGTTTTTTGTATAATTAAATAATTATTCTATCGTAAATTAAAAAAAAAAAAAATTGGACGACGTTAAAAGCATGAATAAATCAAATTTAATAAAATAAAAAATAAAAAAAAATTTTTTTTTTTTTGCGGATTAAACCCGCCGGAAACCGAACGAATTTCCGGTAGAAAAATTAATAATAATAATAATAATAATAATAATAATAATAATAATAATAAATTGACAATAATTTTTTTAAAAAAAAAAAAAAAAAAGAAAATCAAATCAATCGTAAAAATTTTTTCCTTTTTTTCAAAGATTTAATCACGTAAAAAAAAAAAAAAATTTTATTTTCTCTCTCTCTATCATATTCGTCAAAGGAAATTTAAAATTCAAATATACACACGCACGCACACGCACGCACACACGCACACGCAAAAGAAAACGTTTTTTTTTTTTTTTTTGAAAATTCAATTTAAATTCATTCAAAGAAAAAATTTTCCACATGAAAAAAAACGTTACGACGAAAATTCATTACTTTTTTTTTTTCCTTTTTTTCCTTGACGCCGATTTTACATCCAAAGGAAGAAACAATCAAGAGAAAAAAAAAATTTTTGTTTTCCTTTTTTCCTTTTTTTCCTTTTTTTTTTTTTTTACTTCATTTCCTATTTTGTATTTTTTTTTTCTTTTCTTTCGATTGATAAATGATGGGGAATATTTGAAACATCGTAAAAAGTAAAAAAAATTGTAACGTTAACATTTTTTTAAAAAAATATTTTCATTCCTTTTAAATTTTCCTTTTACCATTGATAAGAATGTTTTTATTTCTTAAACGTAATCCTTTGATATTATCGAGAAAAATCATAAAAATGTCAAAACTTTTCACTTTAAAAAAAATCCCTCGAAAAAAAATGTCACGTTAATTTACATTAATTTACTTTTTTCCCTTCCTTTTTTCCTTTTTTCCTTTTTTTTTTAATTTCGTTACACTCGCACAAATAAAAAAAAAATTTAAAAAAAAAAAAGGAAAGTCTAACGCCAAGTCTTTTGTTACTAATTGACCCGTATAAGTAAACTCGATGAATTATTCATACTTTTTCTTTTTTTTTTCTTTTTTTTCTTCCATCTTTTTTTCTCTTACGTAAAACACACACACACACGCGGAAAAACACAAAAAAATAAATAAATAAATAACATAAAACTCAATTGTTGATCCCCCTAAAGTGTTTTACCGTTCGTTCATTTTTATAATATTCAAAGGTTTGGGTTTTTTTTTTTTTTTTTTTTTGTTTATTTGCTTTCTCATGCCTGTTTTTTGTTTTTTTTTTGTTTTAATTCCCAAAGCATAAAATGCCACTTGGATAAATTTGACATTTAAATGCTGTTATACACGGTTAAAAAATAAGAGCCAACAAAGTAATTTTCCCATTTTTTTTTTTTTTTTTTGAAAAAGGGATTTTTTAAACTTTATTTCCAACATTTTAAATTTTTTTGTTTCCCTTCCCCTCTCTCTCTCCTCCTCCCTCCCCCATCCTCCCTTTTCCCTCCTGTCCTCTCCCTCTCCTCCTCCCCCCATCACCTTCTCGATTCGCCGGAAAAATACATCATTCATTTTTTATCAACGTGAAAGGAAAAAATTTTTTTATTACTATTATGACGTCATTATTATTTTTAAAATAAAGAAAAAATTAATTTTCCGAATCCGTGTGAATTTTATTATTATTATCATCATCATCATTATTACGAATTTACGTTCGAATGAATTTTATATATAGTTAAAAAAAAATCTTTATGACGATAGAAATTTAAAAGATTATTTTGTCACGCGAAAATTATTATTATTATTATTATTAAACGCCAAATATAATTATATTTTAATGATTTTAATCTGATCTGATATGATCCGAATACGTCAATTCGTTAACTCAAATAATAATAATAATAATAATATTAACAATAAGCTGGTTTCCTTTATTCAATTAACGTATGAACGACACAAACGCACATAAAATTCTGCTTACACGTCTTTTGGTATTATTACTCGTATACATGACTACAAAGTAATAATTTTAAATCGGTCTTTTTCATCCCCTTGTCCTTTCCTTCCTTCCCCCTACTCTCTCACTTCCCTTCCCTTTTTTTTGTTTACCTCCCCGGTTTTTACGTCATCAAATTTTATACTTTACACGCTCTTATACCTGAACACACACACACACACTCGTATGGTATGGATTATAAATAATTGTTATGATTGTTATGTTTTGTACCTGTATCAAAAGTTTTAAAATTTCGAATTTATTTATTAAATTTTTTTTTTTGAATAAAAAGTGATTTTTTTTGTGTTTCCGTTTCCTGTTTCCTGTTTTTAATATTTAATTCGATGATTTAAAATAAAATAAAACCGTTTAAAACAATTTTATGACGGTTAAATCCGTTATTTAAATAAATATTTTTGACATAAAATCTGTCCGACATTTGTGTCTCATCATCATCATCATCATTATCATCATTATCATTTTTTTTTTATTTTAATGTTCGTTCGTTCGTTATGTTAAAAATATGAAATTAATATGAATTTTTTAAAAATGGTTTTTAATTCCAACAACAACAACAGTAACAGTAATAATAACAACAACAGTAATAGTAACAATAACAACAACAACAACAACAACATCAACAACAACAATAACAACAGCAACATTGGAAAAAAATTGAATTTATTAAAGAAAAGCAACAGAATGTTTACAAGGTATTAATTATTACTCAGGTGTTATTATTACGGTTAAAAAAAAAAAAAAAAATTTTTTTTTTCTTTCTTATTATTATTATTATTATTATTATTATTATTATTATTGTTATTATTTTTCTTAATAAATTTTTTGTTTTGTGCGTGTAATTAAACTGCCCCATCAAGAAAAGTAATAAAAAAAAAAATAATAATAATAATAATTTTAAAAGTATTTTTTTAAATTAATGTTAGGAGGGATCCCCCGTAACGAAGATGATTAAAAAATTATTTTTCTTTTCTTTCTTTTCTTTTCTTTATAATGAGGAGGTGTTGCAGGGGAGGGGAAGGGGAAACTCTTTTTGTTTCCGGTTTGAATTTTTCTTTTTTTTTCCTTTTCCGTAAATTTAAAAAAAAAATTCGGTTTTTTTTTTTTATTTAAACAAAAAACAAACAACAACAACAAGCGTTAATTATCGATAATTTTTTAAACTCTCGCGTTAAATTTTTTAAATAATAATAATAATAATAATAATAATAATAGATACTTTTAAACAATTTTTTTTTCGAAACCCCCTCCCAGAAAAAAAAAAATTAAAATTTTAATAATCGATAATTAAAGAAAAAAAGAGATGGAAAGACGGAAGGGGAGTAAAAGGAAAAAAAAAATTTTTTTCCCTTTTTCCCCTCGTTCCCGCCTCTGCCTCCACACCCCCGTCGTGCCCCACGATGACGACGAAAAACAGAATAAAATAATAAAATTCCAGGTGAATTTATTTTTCCATTAAAATCCGTTAGACGATCCCAACTTTTTCCAGAGTTTCTCTATAGAAATAATAATAAGAATGCAATTACTTTAATTATTTTTGATTTTCCCGCCATAAATGCTATCAAGATTTTTTACGAAAATTCAACCATGTTTGAAAAACTATTATTATCATTATTATTATTACAACCGGAAATATCGGAAAAATACATGTTAATAAATTAATTGATTTGATAAACCAGTAAAAATTAATAGAATTAAATATTTAGAAGAAGAAGAAAATAATAATAATGATAAAGGGAGGTGATGAGGGAAGGAGAGAAGAAGGAAGGGAGGGGAGGAATTTTTTGTCACCATTTTTTACAAATTTATAAATTAATTGGCTGATGAAAATTCGCAAAACAAAAAAAAAAAAAAAAAAAAAAAAAAAAACGAGTAAAAAAAAAAAAATTTATATATAAAAAAAGAAAAAAAGAAAAGTTCTGGAAAAGAAACAACATCTCAAGCTATAAAAATAATATTTACTGGAATTGAAAAATGGTTATGTTGGAAAATAAAGGTAGACGGAATCAGAGTATTCCCAGGGTTTAAAAGCTCTTTTTGACCCCCTGCACCGAGAATTTGTGTGTCTTCCCTTAGCGACGACCAATCACCGTTCATTGAGGACATCCCCTTTCGAGTGTGGGGAAAAAGCTTAAAATCGAAAAAAAAAAAAAAAAAAAAAAAGGAAAAGAAAGGGAATAATAGCAACGGGGGTAAAAAAAAAATATATATGTGAAAAAATTGTCAGCATTTTTATCATTATTATTATTATTATTATTACTATTTTTCCTTACTTTTTATTTTAGGAAAATATTTTCCCGTGTTTATTTTAAATTTTCCTTTTTTTTTCCCCCCAAATTATTTTTAATTACTGATTTTTTCGCGTAGAGAGCGACGCGGGTTCGATTAAAAATTTTCTTTTTTTCCCCCCCGTTTTTTCCGTTTCGACGATAATATTGATAATAATTATATACATTTTCTAAATTTTCTTGTTTTTTTCGGAAAACAAATTTTTTTTTTCACACCACCATTTTCCATATAAATATAAATATTGTAATTATATTCACAATGATTTAACTTTTTTAAAAAAAAAAATTCATATTAATTTGTTGTTAAAAGTTGTTCATTCGTTGTGAATATGTATATTTAATTTCTTTTTTAAAAAATAAAATTCGATTCTGTTCCGCTTTTCTTTTAATTTTTTTAATTAAGAAACCGGAAGTAATTCGTACGATTTTTTTTCTTTTGTTTTTTTTAAGTAAAACGGAAACGGAAAATTTTTCCGATTTTTATTTTTTTATTCGTTTACGCGAAAAACGCATAAATAAAAAAAATTGTCAATCAAATTTCGGGTTGGAAGAAAAAAGAAAAATTTAAATTTAAAAAATTATCCGGAAAATTTGGAGAAAAACTTTAGAGGATTTGGTTTAATTTTCGGTAGAAAATGAATTCGACTCGAATAATATTTTTAAACAAAAAATAAAATAATAATTGTAACAAGACGTGTTAAAAAAACCGCAATATAATGGAATGAAAGTTCATTTTATGATAAACTCAGATCTTGGGGTACGAATGAGAGAGAGATTCCCTCTTCTCCTACGTTTATAAAAACCGGAAAGGGATGGAAAATTCTCCGCCCCCTTTTCGCCCCTTCCATCCTCTCGTAAGGACACCCTCATCCACTTTTTTGGGCGAATCAGTTATTCAATTAAGGTTATCATTTGATTTTTCGAGCACGAACTAGCAAGAATCATCGGAAACAAAAAAAAAAAAAAAAAAAAAAAAAAAAAGGAAAAGGAAAAGGAAAAAGGAAAACGTGAAAACCCCGCATCTTAGTTTCGCGCTTTTTGTTCGATATTCAACGTAACTCAGTAATCGCCATAATTTGATATAACGGGATTTGATTTAATTATATACGGAAACTAGGTTTCATTCGGTTTTCTTCTTCTTCCTTTTTTTTTTTAAATTTAAACTCGTTAAAATTTATTACATTTTATCATTATTATTATCATCATTATTATTACCGGCTTAATAAAATTTATTTAATTTTGTTTTTCTTTCGTCCGAAATAATTTTTAATTCTTTTTTTTTTTAATTGTTTTTTTTTTTTTTTTTTTAATATTAATAAAATGTAAAAGTTTTTAATTTGTGTGCGCGTATCGAAGTTTTTTTGTTTGTTTGTTTGTTTGTTTGTTTAAAAAATAAAATAATTTATAAAAATGGATTATTCTTATTTGAATCAAGCGGCAACGACTTTCGACACATCGAGTTGTTCGTTAACGGCGGCGGGTATAGATCCGTCATCGTTGGGAAACATGCCTTGTTCTTATGGTGATTTAACATCGTGCAGTCAAATGTCACAAGCTGCCTACAGGTACACGGCAGCCGCGGCTACGATAGCAAGAAATTATAATCCCGGTACCGGCGGCATGGTCGGCCATCATCCTGCCGGCGGTGGACAATGTGCCGTTATGGGTGGACGTCAAGACGTTCATCACAGACCTCCTATGTTTCCTAGCTCAATGAATTTACAAGGTAAATACAAAAAAAACCCAAAATTTAACTAAATGATAATGATAATAATAATTATAATAATAATAATAATAATAATAAATGTTTGTTTTTGCGATGAAAAAGCGGAATCACGGGGAAAAATCCTCCAGTTTTTCCAATTATTAAAATATTAATTATCGTTTATTATTATTATTATTATTATTAATTTAAAATGACACAAAATAAATTTTTGATTGAATTTGTTTTCCCCTTATGCCCCCCCTTTCCCCGAAAAAAAAAAAATTTTTTTTTTTAAATTCCAATCAAATAATTAAAATAATTTTTGAAATGATAAAACGGAAAATTTATTTTTACAAAATTAATTTTTCATAATCACATTATCATCATTATCAAAAAGAGATTTTCTATTTTTTTCCGTTTCCCCCCTCCCGCCCTCCTTCTCCCCTCTACCTCACAGAGCTTTGCGTTGATTTTTCCCTTTTAAAAGTCAAATTATTAATAATAAATAATCTAACAAGAGAGCATAAACAACAATAATAATAATAATAATAATAATAATAATGGTAAAAATAATAACGATTTTTTGGAAAATTTAAAAATTCAACAACAACAACAACAACATTTTCTCCCCTTTTTTCTATCGCCGAAAAAATAATAATAATAATAATAATAATAATAAATTATTATATTATGTGTATATTATCACGTGATAAAAATAATAATAATGATAACGTAATCATTTAAATTTAGAAAAAAAAAACTTTACGCATAAAAAAAAAAAAGAAAATTTTTTTTTGAATATTTTATTTTATGTACCTCAAGACATTTTTAATAAAAACTTTTTCTTTCTCTTTTACCCGATCTCGACCTTATTTATTTATTTATTTATCCAAACAAGAGAAATAACGATAATAATAATAATAATGATGATGATGATGATGATGATGATGATGATAATTATTAATTTAAATCGTAAAAAAAAAAAAAAAAAAAAACGATGAAAACTAAAGTAAAAAAAAAATAAAAAATAAATTCCGTCTTGAATTTTACTTGAAAAAATTATGTAAGTTATTAACGTTAATAATAATAATACATAAGTCTTTAATAAATATATTTTTATGTCGATTATTTAAAGAATGGAGAAATAATAATTATAATAAGTTTTTTTTGTTACCGTCGCTTTTCCATCATAAAATTTTTTTTTGTGAAAAACAATTTGCGAATAAAAAAATTTTTAAACGATACCCGTCGGGAATTGTCTTCTGCTTTATTTATTTATTTATTTATTTTGATGTCGCATACATGCATCGATATTAATTTTAATTTTCTAACAATTCAATTTAAAAATAAATTGAAATTAAATTGATTAAATTGCTAAAAAAAAAAAAAAAGTCATTTTGAGTCGTCCGTTTGCAAACAAAAATGACCGTCGTCGAAAAAAACATGGCGTTATCAACCTTCTTATCATTCGTATAATTTTTATTTATTTATTTAAACAATTATAATAATAATAATAATCGTTTGCGATGATAACGACGGTTTAACGTTAATAATAATAATAATAACAAGTATAAATACGATGGGTAAAACGTAATTAAAATAAAAACGGTTAGTACAAAAGAAAATTTTAATTTTTTGTAAATTCATTATTAAAGGTTTCGGAAAATTTTTAAAAAAAATGAAAAAAAGAAAAGACAGTCGAATAAGTTTCCGGTCAAAAAATATTTCACTCGAACACCCTTTTTTATTTTTTTTATTTTTTATTTTTTGTGAAAAGCGGACAGGCATCTTGGCTTTCTGTTTCAATTAGAAATTCAATTCTTCAAGAGCCAATTTCCCTTTCCCTTTAGAAAACTTGCAACCTTTTGGCTCACAGCGATTATTCCCTCTTCTTCTTCTTCTTCCTTTTTTTTCTCCTTTTTTCCAAAAGCTTTACTTTCTATTTTATTTTCCAATTTTACTCTTTTTCTTTCTTTCCTTTTTTTTTTTTTTTCGTTTCAAATGTTTTTTTTTTTTCCTTCGGGTTTGACGTAGTTTTTATTATACGAAAGCTCGTAAAAATCGAGAGAAAAACAAAAGATTCACATGGAGACAAAGTAAATTTTATCTTCTCCCCTTCCCCACCCCCTTCCCCCACCTTTCCCCCTCCTATTTCTATTTTTTTTTTTTGTTTCTTCATTAACAGAAGACATTTTTTTAAAAATTTCATCAAAATTCAACTTTTTTTATTACTAAAAAATTTCTCAAGCAATTCTTTACTTAAAACATTTTTTAAAAAAATAAGAAAATTATTATTATTATTATTGTTATTTCTCCAGTTCTATTTCAATCGTCGATATTCCAACAAACAAATCAATAAAATATTCAAAACAACAACCACAAAACAAGACAAAAAAAATTTAAAAACCCTATGAAAGATGTAAAAAAAAAAAAAAAAAAAAAAAAAATGTTTTTCCATCCAGTTTCTTATTATGTTAAATATGTTGGTTATGTGAAAACATTTTATGTTGCACCGTGGTATATAACAATGTTTAGAAAGACGTAAACCGGCAGTAAAATTCATTTATCTCCTCATTCCAAACAATAATAAAAGTTGCAGTCATAAAAATTTACTTTTATAAGTGCACTTTTCCACTAAAGTTACAACAACGTTTTTCCTACACGAGATTTTTTTTTTTTTTTCCTTTCTATCCCTAACTTAAAACAATGAAATTTTATATTTTTCCCGTTTTTTTTCTTTTTAACGTAACATAACAATTTTTATGCATTATTGTTATAAAAGATGACTTTGTCGCTAACATAAAATTTTATTTTATATGTTTAACATTGGTATACACATATATCCTTATACACACACAAACACATTTTCTCTTTTTTTTATTTAATTTATTTTAAACTTACTCGTTTCCAATGTCTCCTTGTCAAAATATTGAATGCTTTACTTCTTCTTCTTCTTCTTTTTAACACTGTTTTTCCGCGAACGGGTACGTTTTTAACCGAATTTTCCACGAGACAATAACGTACGCGACCGTTATCCGTTTGTTTTCAACACAAAAACCTTTAATAAATGATTTAAAATGGCGATTTTATACATCCCGAGAATCATTATGGCGTCTTTTGTTAATTAACAATCACTAAAAACCAAAACAATTAAAAAAAACCGTGAAAATTAACCGAAAAACAAAAAAACAAAAGAGAAAAAACGTTATTGTTAATGAATGTGTTCGAAACTGTGAATTATGGACGGCGTCGTCAGGTAAACCATAGAGTAAATGAATTTGCACGTTTGTCAAATTTCTGTTTATTATTGTTATAAGAAGGCGGTGTGAAAACGTAAACAATAACAATTATCATATTTATTATTTTTTTCATTCTTATTATACCGGTTGAAATTCTAGAAATAAATTCTTATTAACCGGTTGAAATCAATAATAATGATGATGATGATGATGATGATGATAGTAATGAAAATAATAGTAATAATAATAATTATTATTATTATTATAAAATAAAAAGGAAAAATAAAAATAAATGTTTGACCAAGAGTAACAAAATGTCTGGCCAAAAAAAAAGAAAAAAAATTATTATTATTATTATTATTTTTTTTTTCATTTACGACTTTTATTTATTTACTTATTTTTTTACTTTCTTTCTTTCTTTCTTTTCCCCTTTCCTTTTCCTTCTCATTCTCCCGCGCTAAAAATTTACAAAAAAAAAAAAAAAGAATTTATTTCAGCTAATAAATAAAATTAAATTAATTTTTTTTTATTTTATTTTTTTTCATGGAGTTAAAGTAAAAGGAAATAAAATGGGGGGAGGGAGGGGGGAGGGAAGAGAGAGGGAAAAAAATTATAATTAACATAATTTATGTTATAAATTTTTTTTCGTGCGAATAAAAAGAATAAAAAAATTATTCATGAAATTTTCTAATGTCTTCAGGTAAATTTAATTTATTAAATTGACTCTCGGTTTAGTTTTCCTTGTCTTCCATTGACAAGACCAAAAAAAAAGAGGAGTTTGGAGAAAATGAAGGGAGAAAAAATGTAGAAGAAGGAACAGGAGAATAATATAAAGGAGGCAAATCGGAGTGAGAGAGAGAGAGAGAGAAAAAAATAAAGAAAGAGAGAGAAAGGGAAAAGGCAAGGGTGGAAAAATCCGCCATTTTGAAAATCACAGACGCGCAGAATTACTCTGAGTCGTTTGGAATCTTGCATGTTACCAAGTCACAGACAAAATTTATTATTTACTTCTTTTCCATTCGTCGATAATTGAAATTTCCGATTTTGGAATAAAAATTTTCTTTTTTCCTTCCCCCCTACCCCCCCTTCCTTCCGTTTGAAAATTTTTTACTTCCGTTTGTTTACGTAAATCCTTCCTCTTCCTCGCCCCCCGTTTTTTTTGTTCAAATCAAAAACGTTTAATAAAATAATTATTTAACAATGAAAATTATGAAAAAAATTTCATAAATTGTTTTTTAAAAAAAAATCATAGAGTAATAATTTTTTTTTTATTTCGATACCGGAAATTCCGAACCGGAAATAGAAAAAATAAAATAAAAATAATGAAAAAAAATGTTTCGGAATGAGAAAAAGATGACCTCGACGATTTTCTAAAAGTGAAGGGTAAAAAATATCAGAATCATTTAAATCACTTCCCTGTTACATTTGTCATTTTTTTTCCTTTTTCCTTTTTTTCCTCTTCCTTTTCCTCTTCCGTTTCCGTTTCCGTCCATGTGGTCTGTGGTTAAAAAAAAAAAATATGAAAAAAATATACTGCCCCTTTACGCAACAACACCATCACATTAAATATATATATAATTTATCATATTTGAGAAGAAAAAAAAAATTTTTTTTCCTCTTTCGACTTTCTTTTTTTTCCCCCTATACTCCTCCTTCCTACCTTTTTTTTTCTCCTGCCACGAAATTTTTCACGTTTTTTTTTTTAACACACACACACGCATTTAATAAACAATTATTATTATCGTTATTAAGAAAGGGTCTTACTGATTATAAATTACTTATATAATAAAATAGAAAAAAATTAAAAAGGTTAACGCACGCGGACCTTTTCCCAGCCCCCCACTCCCCCCGTTTATTATTATTATTATTATTATCATCGTCGGGTAAATTAATTAATTCTTTTATCATTTTCATCTCCGTCTTTCTTATCACTCGGACAAACAAAAAAAAAATTATAAAAATTTCATCATCGTCGTTTTCCTTTTAAAATTTTCCATTTAAAAATTCTAAATAATAATAATGATGATAATAATAATAATAATAAATTAATGAATAAAAAAAATAACAATGGAAATGAAGTGTAAAAAGTTTTTGTAAAAGAAAGATTTATTTTGTAAAACCAATGTAAAAAAAAAAAAAAAAAATTGGAAAAACGATGATGATGATGACAATTTTCTCAAGTTCCCACCTCTCGGCACTTTTCCCCTCCCTTCCTGCTCCTCCTCCTTCTAAAAATTAAATAAGAACCTCGTATTTTAATTAAATTAATTATCATAACTTTTGTTTTTTTCTAAACAATTTCTAAAAAAGAAAAAGTTTATTTCGATATTAATAATAATAATAATAATAATAATTTTGCATTTCGAGAAGCCTTCATCAAAAATGATAAATAAATAAATAATAATAATAATAATAATAATAATAATAATAATAGAAAAAAAAAAGGAAAATTTTTTCTGCGGCAAAACGAGGAGGTTTGTTTTAGTGTTAAGAGTTATGAATAATTTAAAAGTTGGTTTTTGGAATTAGTAGTGATAACCCTTTTCTAATGTAAAATGGTTTAACATTTCTTCTCCAGTTTTGAGAAATCGTGATAATGATAATGATGATAACGATGTATTTGTTTTTTTTCCAGCCGGACTTTCTTATAAAGTTTATTCAGGTCACGATGGGGTTTTAACGGAAAAAAGAAAACAGAGAAGAATAAGGACGACATTTACATCGGCACAATTGAAAGAACTGGAAAGGGCTTTCCAGGAAACGCATTATCCAGATATTTACACAAGAGAAGAAATCGCAATGAAAATCGATTTAACGGAAGCTAGAGTCCAAGTAAGCTATTTTTTGTTTTTTCGAATCGGAAAACAAATTCGTTTTCCTAAAAAAAAAAAAAAAGGAAAATTTTTTTCTTTTAAACATTTTCTATTGTTTGAACAAAACCTTTGTTGGGGAGGGTTTGTGGGGGAGAAAAGGAACCTAAAGGAAGGAGGAAAAACGAGAGAGAGGGGGTTGGGGTCGATGCGTGTGGTATATACAGTTAAACGCGGATAAAAAAATTTTCCTCTGAAAGGTTTAAAAAATTTTCCTTTTTTTTTGTTGTTGTTCCTGCTGGTTGATTTAACGTGACACGATTTGAAAATTTTTTTTTTTTTTTAAATTCTATTGAAATTCATTGTAAGTTTTTCAAATCCATCAAGATTTAGATTCTAGACTGTTAAAAATCAAACGTGAATTTTTATAAAATCGAGTTTTCATTTGTTTTTCCTTCCTTTCCCCCCGCTCACCTTTCACTCGCTTTCCCTTCATCCCTTCCGGAAAAAAAAACTTTTTCAATCTGTAAATAAATCTTTTTTTTTTTTTTAAATATGGCGGATGATAATTTCGTTGCGTTGAATATTAAAAAAAAAAAAAAAAATTTACAAGTTTTTATCGTTCTGTACCTGTTTGTCTATAACCCCGATTTTTTTTTTTTTTTAATCCTTGTTTTTCCACAATAAACTTTGTTTAATTCCACGTCTTTTTTTTTTTATTATTTATATTCATTCGTATTGTATGTTTGATTTGGCATTAATCATTTTGTTGTCGTTTTGTTATTATTTTTAGGTGTTTGTTTGCTTACTAAGCTTAAATCTTACACATTTACAAAGGGGTGGATTGATGATTAAGTAAAAACTACCCAGTCAATCGGAGAGTTTGTACGTGCGCGCGTGTGTTTGTGTGTGTTTTGTTCAGTTAGTAAACTTAAAAAGATTTAAAATTAAGGGTATAAATATTTCCGACACCCCCTATTTACCGATTGTTTCGTTTGAGTTAATTTAATTTGAAAATTGTATGACATGTGTTTAACCTCTCTTGTCCATTTTCATCCCTTATGAATAAAAAACACTTCTTTTATTGGATAGATTTATGTTTTTTTACCACCCCTAGTTAACACTCTTGTACAACTACTACTAATCTTTTACTAGTGTCACAAAAAAAACGGCACGTCATCTTTTTATAAAAAAAAATAATAATAATAACGTAGTCATCATTATATCGACAAGGTGCCACGACAAGTGACGTCACATAAAAATAATAATAATTATATTTATTTTATTTTATTTTTTTCTGTGGCGATTTTTCTACTGGTAAAAAGAGTTTTTACACGTCATAGAGAATGATGATGACATCATCAAAAGGCGTTAATAATTAAATAAAAATTTTTGAAAGCGGGATTTTAGAACAAGTGAACGTTTTTTTATTTTATTAGTTTAAACGATGATGATGATGATGATGATGATCCCTCTATCAATTTCGTACGACAAACAAAAGAAAAAAAATCCCGTACAACATTAACTTAAACCATGTGACACACGGTATTGCTTTAACATTGTTTTCTTATTATAAAAAAAAAAAAGGTTACTTATTTTAAGGGGGTTGAAATAAATATATATATATAAAAATTATTACAGTTTTCGAATAATGGTGGAGAAAGAGAGAGGAAAAAAAAAAGTTAATAGTCTGTAAAGTTAAATAAAATGAAAATGATTCGAGTTTTGTGTTTGTGTGTTGGTTGGTTGGTTGTCTGGTTGTTTTCCTCTCACCCCGTCCCACGCCACCACCCCCTTTATGATTGAATATGTATAAGAAAAAATTATTTATTTAAAGTTAAATAATAATTTAATGTAATTTAATTTATGGATTTTTATCAATCGAGTATGAAAAAAAAGTTTTTATGTTTGATGACGTCAAATGTCCATCAAAAAATAATATTTATGTACCCGAAAAAACGATATAGAAGCAGGTGTGCTATTTTTGGTGTGTGAGAGAGAGAGAGAGGGGGGAGAAGTGGAAGAATGTATGAGAGTTTTACCTATTTAAAATACAAAATTTATTTAACATTAAATTATTATTATTATTCAATTTTTTACCCCCGGGAAAAGCGTGAAAAACTGGAGACAATGAAATTAAAAAAAAAATAATAAAAAAAGGGATTTTTTGGGAAAAATTTTTTTTAATTAACAACGTTTATTATTTGTTTTTTGTAATTTAATTTTTTTTTTGTGTGTGTGAGAGAGAGAGAGAGAAAGGGAGAGAGAGGGAGAAAGAGGGGGAGGGGGAGAGAAAGATGGTTAAAACGAAAATATTGACGTGGTAATTACGTATTTATTAATAAAAAGATTTTTATCCTCGTGTTAACAAAATCGAAAAAAAAAAAAAATCCTTAAAAAAGTAAATTGGGAAGCTATGGAACGAATGAACGAACAAAAAAAGGGATAAAAAGGTTAAAGAAGAAAGGGAGGAAGGAAGGAGGAAGGAAAAAAGGAAAGAGAGAAAAAAAAAAGATGAAAAAATAAAATGAACATACTGTTTATTTTAACACATGGGCTCAAATATTTTGCTTCAGAATATTTGTCTTTCGGCTTAAAACAAATATTGGCGCTTTTACACACACACACACACACGCAATCCCGAGAGGTTAGTCCCAACCATTGACAACTTGGTTAAAGGTAAATAAGGGGTGATTTTAAGGGTTGTTCCCAATGAATGCATAATGAAAAAATAAGGAGTATCTATTGTTTGCCTTTCATATTTTTTTTTTTTTTACTCAAAATATTTTTATAAATTATTAAATTTATAAAAAAAAAAAAACCTCTTATTTGAAATCTCCTCCCCTACCCCCCTCCCATCCTCCCCCCCGGCCTTTTTAGTTTCGTTAAGAAAAAATAAATAAAAAGAATTAATTTCACCACCACCACCATCATGACTACCCAATAATTATTGATTGATTTTTTTATATTGAATCGCATAAATAATTATGTATTTTATCAGGTATTATTTTTGTATCTTATCAGGTATGGTTTCAAAATAGAAGAGCAAAATTTCGTAAACAGGAACGTTTGGCACAACAAAAAGCCGTACAATCTTCGTCCAATAATTCGAACAATAACGATTCGGCATCATCACCCCAAACGATAAAGACTGAAAGTGGAGGAAAACAAATCGTAACGAGTAGTAGTAATGGTAAAGACATGAAACCAGGTACTCCAAACACAAATAATTCAACACCAAATTCAAATCATAGCGTTTCATCAAACGGAGACATAAAACCTGTCAACGGAAACGGTGAGTTAAAAAAAAAAATTTAATTTTGCTGTTGTGCTGTTGTATGTGTGTGAAAATTTCAATATTAAAATAATGGGGAAAATTTAATAACAAAAAAAAAAACACTTTGATAATGTTAAGATGAAGAAGATGAAGTTTAAGAGAAAAAAAAAACATGGAGAAAGTAAAAGAGAGAGAGAGAGAGAGAGAAAGAGAGAAAAAAAAGGAAACCCTCACTCGAACGCAACCCAAATCCACACACACACACCCTCCCCTCGTGCAAATTCTGACGTTTAATCTAGAAAATTGCCTCGAATAGGCTCTTATAACTATGCAACTGATTTTTCTTTCTTTTTTTTTCTTCGTTCTTTTAAAAAGAACGAGTTTCATATAAGTTATACATAAGTGAGATTATTTTTTTTCCCTGCCCTTCTCTTCTGTTCTCCTGTTATTAGTTCGCTCATGATGAAATGTAAAGAACAATGCTCATTCATTTTCATAAACGTCAGAAACGCGGGTGCGATGTATGTCAAATAAGAGGTATAGATAGACGTATGGCAGGTGCGGGTACACACGCACACGCACACGCATACAATTTTATTATTTAAACTTTTGGGGAAAAAAAAAAAAATTTTTTCCCTTTAAAAAGTAGTATCCTTTACGCCATTAAAAAAAAAAAATCGTTGCGACGGAAGTGAAGGCAGCGGAAGTGGAGGCAGCGGAAGTGGCGGTGGCGGCGGAAATAATTTTAATTTAATAAAATACGACTCGGGAAAACTTTTTTTTGTCCTTTTTTTTTTTTTTTTTTAATAAATTTAATATCGATATATTTAATTATTTAGTTATGACATTAGTAGCAACCGTTTTTAAAAAAATTTTTGACTCGTTCATATAAAAATTTTCGATTATAATAATAATAATAATAATAATTTTTCAAAAAATAAAAATAAAAAAGGTCATAAAAATCAAAAAGAATCTATTAAAGCAATGTGTTAGTGTCAGAAGACAAAAACAAATTTATGATGGCGGTGACGAGATAATGGAAAAAAGGGAGAGAATGAAACAAAAACATAGATAGATAGATAGATTCCCCGGAAAATTTAATCGTTTTAAAAATGGGGGGAAAAAAGAAAAGAAAAAAAAAAAAAAAAAGAAAACCAATAGAAAAACTATCGAATTAAGAACATTCTAATAATTAAAGTTCAATCATAGTAAAGTGCAATAAATATTATCATCATCATCATCCCTCTCTATACGACCACGTGCACCCGCCTATTTTGTTGTTTTGCACAAAACAACCGACAACCGAAAAGGAAAAAACATTTTTTTTTAATCTTCCTCTTTCTCTCCCTCCTCCCCCGGAAAAAACAATCACCTGTTTTCCTTTTTTTTTTTTTGTTTCAAATTCTTACCGAACTTATCAATAATAATAATAATAATAATTTATTTATTTTTAAGGAAAATTAGAAGACGTAATAAACTCGGGAAACAACAACAACAAATGGCCAACGATGACATCTTCATGTAACACATCGTCTCTCCTCCTTCAACAAACGACTAAAACAAACAATACTCAACATCTCAATCACGCACATCATCATCATCATCATCACGCAACTATAACGTCACCATTTTCATCTTTGTTAACGGCGGCAAGCGGAAGTCCCGGATACATACTCGGTGGTACTGATCCGTTAGGTTTAAACAAAGTTGTTAACTCTTCGGTTAATCATTTATATTAAAACAAACAAAAAATATTCGAACGGAATTCGTTTGTTTTTATTACGTGCTTACGTCACGAGCAGACGGCAAAAAGCCAAAAACAATAACAACGCGAATTTTAATAAAATGTATAATATTATGTATAAAATAAAAATAATAAAATATATATATAAACTTATTAAGTGATATTGTTTTAATTAAATAAATTATTAAATCAAAAAATTTATTTTTAAACAATAAATGGTTTGTTTTATAATAAATAAATAAATAAATAAATAAATAAAATAAATAAATAATTTTTTTTCCTTCCCCCTTTCCTCATTGGATTATCCTCTTTTACTTGTGTAAATTTAAAAAAAATTGAATTTTTCCGTTGTTATTATTATTATTATGGTTTCGATCGTCGGGTGGGAGGGAGTGGGTGTGTAGGGGGAGGGGAAATGGCGACGATTACTAGAAAAATTTTTTTGAATATTTTTTTTAAAAAAAAAAAAAAAAAAAGGATGCGAAAATTAAAAAAAAAAAATTGAATTCGTGTTTGTTGTTGTTGTTGTTGTTTGTTCGGTTCGGTTCGGTAAAACCAAAGCAATTAATAATAATTTCGGTTTTGAAAATGAAAGGTTCGCACGGGTAAAAAGCGTGGAAAATTTTTTTTTTTTTTTTTTTTTTGTAATTATAAAATAAAAGTGAGAATGACCCTCTTGAGACTCTAATTTTTGCAATTTATATTCAATTTTTTAAAATTTATTTCGCCTGTTTTTTTTTTTTTTTAAATTAGTGAATCCGTGTTTGTATATTTTCGAACAAAAATTCCACGTCCTCCAACCCACTCACCCATTCACCCTCTCACGCGAGAACCCTTTTTCATAATAATAAAAGAATTTTGACGTGTCAATAATAAAAAAAAAAAAAAAAACCCTTCTCGAAAAATAAAAAATTATTTCAAAATTTTTTTTTTTTTTTTTTTTAATCGTCTTTCACACGCGCCGCGTGATAATTAGTCGGTTCATCTTAATTATTATTATTATCATCATCATTATTATTATTATAAATAAAATCGCGTAAAACAAATAAAATAAAAAAAAAATAAAATCTATTATTTATGCCAAAACAAAAAAAAACTAAACCGTCGTCAATGATTTTTATGTTAAGTAACGCAGAAATTTAAAAAACAAAAAAAGTTATTATTATCATCATCATCATTATCATCATCGTTTTACTTAAAACGTAATAAAACCGAAGATGAGGAAAAAAAAAAAAAAAAAAATGAAAATGTCGATTTAATGGTTGATGAATATAAAAAAAAAAAATTTGGCACGAATTCGTCATCATCATCATCATTATCATCATCATTATTATCATTCCAATCCTTGTCATTCTTTATGTAAAAAAAAAATTTCATTCCTTGACTTACTATTTAAAACACTTGTTCCAATCAATCATTCAAAAAACAATTCAACGGATTTTTTAATGAATTAAAAAACACCTTTTGAATTAAAGTAGGTGTCGTATCGTGCGATTCATTAAAAAAAATTTTTTTTTTTTTTTTTGCGTTAATTAATTCGTTTAAAACGTTAATCAACAAACAAACAAACGAACAAACAAACAAACGAAAAAATTTCCCATAAAAAACTGCGACCAAATCGTGTAATTAATTAATTTTTTTAAATAAAAACGCGAAAAATTTAAAAATTTTTCAATAGTAAATCCTTAGCTCGAAAGCCGGATAAATTTTTCGAACTGTTTGTCTAATGACACGAAAAAAATTTTTTTTGCTACCGTTAAAATTATTCCCATAAAAATGCTCGCAATAAAGTTTTAAAAACTTGATTAAATTATCGTTTCGATATATATAAAGTAACGATATATAATAAATAATTAAGTAAAATCATTCATTTATTCATTCATTCATTCATTCATTCAATCAATCATTCATTCGTACGAGTCGGTGATAAAATAATTTTTGGGGTTGTAAAGATTTAGGGGTTGACACGACACAATTTTTTTTTTCAATTATATATATATATATATATATAAAATCTTTTTTATTATTTTACCATCTGTTTAAATTATTTTTAGTTTTAGCTTTCATCATAACGGAAGTTAAAAAAAAAAATTTTCACGATTTCCGGTTTTTCAAAAATATTTTTTCCCGTCATTTTTTTTTTACAAAAGGGAAAATTTGCGTTTTGTTGTTATTTTTCCATTCTAACAAAAACAATCATCGGAAAATAAATTTTTAAAAAAATATACATGTGCACCTATACGAAAAGAGAGAGAGAGAGTAAGAGAGAGAAAGAGAAAGAGAAAGAGAGAAAGAGAGAGAGAGAAAGAGAGAGAGAGAGAGAGTGAAATTTATAGAAGGAGAGACAGTTATGAATTATTGTTTGTTTTTTTTTTTTTTTCATACTTAAAATCCCTCGAGATGAAAATGAAGAGTTAGAAAGGAAAAAAAAAAAAAAACTTGGAAGGTTTTTAATCATTTTAAAACTGCCACACATATTTTTCCTACAACAACAACAACAACAACCAAAAACGTTACAACTTTTGGTTGTTGGTTAAGAACAAACAAACAAACAAACTGGGTATAAAAAAATACAAAAATGACTAATTTAAAAAAAATTTTACTTTTGATCACTCGTGCATGAGTTACGGCTGTTTTTTTTTTTTTTTGCTGTCGTTTGTAGGCGTTTGAATTTTTTTTAATTTTTGACCTCATTTTGCTCCCAAAAATACATTTAAAAAATTTTTCTCTCTCTCCTCATCCTCCTTCAATAGTTTAATAATAATAATAATAATTTTGTTACATACGAGAATTTTCCGATTGAAATAAAATGAAAAAAATGATTTTGATCAATAATCAGACGATAAGAGAGAGAGAGAGAGAGAAAACCTTTAGTTTATATATATATATTTGGAAAATCTCATGGGAAATCAAGAAGTTGAGAGACGAAATTACGTCAACAAAAAACTCAAAACAAACAACTCGGATGTTAGTAAAACTTGGTTGTTGTAAACAAATGACAGGACATTACAATCTATCTAACTTTAACTTAAATTATTCTAACAACAATTTCGCTATATACTAAACTTAAACTTAAAAAAAAACTTTCTTCATTTTCTCCTCCTCCTCCTCCTCCTCCTCCTTATTTTCTTAACTTTACCAATTTTTTTTATTGTTAGAATGTTATTAAAAAAAAAAAAAAAAAATGAAAATCTCTTTTTTGTTTTTACGAATCGTTTCCGGTTAATTTACTCCGCCCACGTGACGTCATCGATTTAAAAATTGAGACTCAAGTTCGTTTGTAAAAAAAAAAATTTCGACCGTCGTAGTTTCTCTTTTCACGCCTCGATTTTCTTTCGATTTTTTTTTTAATAAAAATAAAATATATATTTACTTACCTCCTTATCTGCCATTTTGTCCGTCCATAACCGCCGCTCCTCCCCCCTCCCGCCTCGCCATTTCCGCTTCTCGAAACTTGTTGATTGAAATTTTTCAAAAAAAAAAATTTTTATTTGGCTTTCATCCCACGAAAAACCTGAAAAAGTCAAAAAAAATTTTTTTTGATTAAAATTCGCGACAGATTTTTTAAATATTTTTTACATTAAAAATTTATTAATAATAATAATAATGATAATGATAATAATTACGATAAATAAATATGGCGGTTGATTTGATAATGAAAAATTTTTTTTTGTTTTTTTTGTTTTTTTACGGTTAAACCAACGAGAATTTTTTTTTTTTTTTAATGTTACCAACTTTTAAAACTTGTGACTTTTACCCTCTTCCACCCCCTCATACTACATACCCTCTTCGAAAAAAAAATTGAAAAAGGACGTGAGGGGGGGGGAAAGAAAGTAATTAAATAAAAATCGTCGATGAAATTAAAAAAAAAAAAAAATTGATGAGTTAAGCGTGAGTTTTGTTTTTTTTTTTTTTGCTTTTTTTCGGTTAAAAAAAAAGAAAATTTAACTTTAATCAAATGTGACTGATAAAAAAAAAATTATCAAAACAAACAAACAAACAAACAAACGAACAAAAGTCAATCCAAATTGATAATTCATTCGCATACAAACACACGCTTGTCAAACTACTAAGAGAAAATCATTTACATCACTTTTGATTTATTATTTAAAATTTACAAGGGCGACGAATTTTTAAAAAAAAAAAAAACAGGAAATCGAATTTTTTTTTAAAAATTGTCTTTCCAACATCCTCCTCCTCCCCCTTCCCCTCCCCCCCGGTAAATAATTCAACTCGTAATAATAATAATAATAATAATAATAATAAACAATTTCGTGTATGTATATACGTATCAATGAGATCGTTAAAATTATTTATTTAATTTTTTTTGTTTTTTTGTCGTCTGCTTTTTTAATAAATTGTTGACCTTGAAAAAATAATTAATTTTTTTCGCGTCTTTGTAATAATAATAATAATAATACTCATTAAATTAATAATAATAATATTTGTAAAAGTTAAAAAAACATTTACAAACGTTAAATATTTTTTTTTTTTTTTTTTTTAAATTCATTTAATTTTATCGCCTTTTCCCCTCCTTTCCCCTCCCCTTTTTCCTCCCACATTTCCCCTTCCTTCCCTTCCCCTTTTCCTCCCTCCCTACGCTCCCCCCCCACACAATTTACCACAACCCACACACGTGGAAAAAATTTAATTTTCACAATAATTAAATAAATTTAAAAAAAAAAAAAAAAAACGAACGAACGTTATGTTTGAGAAAAAAATATGTTTGTTGTTTGTTTTGTTTGGAAAAACTTTTTTTGGAATCTCCCCAAAAAAAAAAAAGTAGAAAATATACGAATAAATAAAAATGGCAATTTTATAAAATAAAACGCGTCGAATTAATTTATTTAAATAAAAAATAAAAATAATAATAATAATTTATTACTAAAGAAAAAAAAATAACAGATTTTTTTGAAATATTTTGAAAAACATAAACAAAACACTCACAGTTTTATTTTTTTTACAGAAAAAAAGTAATAATAATAATAATAATAATCATCATTATTATCTCATACATAAATAAATAAAAAAAAATTAATAGATTTATTTATTTATTTACTTTTGCAATTATTATCATTATAATTTTTTTTGTTATAAAATAAAAATTACAAATTTAACCTTGTGGAGATTTTTTTTTGTTTTTCAAAGAAAATTAAAAAAAAAAAAAAAACGTCGTGGCAATAGAATCGTAGAAAAGAAAAACATATACAAGAATACTAAGAACAAAAAAAAAAAAAGAAAAAAAAAAAAACTTTTGTCATATCAGTCTCGTTTTCTTACATATTATCATATATATATATATATAAGTGCGTTGGTGCGTGGGTGAACGTGGTAGTAGAATTTACTTTCCGAGAAGGATTTTTCTTCCGGCACCGATATTTTGTCCGGCTTGTGTTGCTCCCTTATTTTGTCCAGCCTGGAGTCCGATGATTGTTTCTCCAGCTCTGAGTTGTTCTTCGGTAAATTCTCTTTTATTTTCTTCCGAGGGTTTGGGTCCCAAGTAAGGTCCGGACCATTCCGGATGTTTGTACGTCTGTACAAAAAAGAAAAATTTTTTTCAATTTTCGCCGGAGGGAGGGGGATGGGAGTTGGAGGGGTTGGGATTTAGATACTCACGGCTCTGCCAAGTGCAAAAAGAGTACAAGTGACTTGTGCGATGTCTTTTTTCTCCCACAAATCCACGGTTTGGAATACGTCAAGATCGGGTACGCCGTAGGCTTTGATGGCTTTTTGAAAATTGTTTATATTTTCCATCATTTTGAATTGTCCGCCGGTCGAATTGATTTTAGGTACGCTACCAGGTTGTAATTTGTTAATCAATTTACACAAAACCTGTCCGTCTTTGATGTGATCTTCGTATAGGACGCCGGGAGGAAATTTTTCACCGAGTACTTGTTCAATCCATTCTTGTGCTTCCCTATCTTGTTCCGGATTTCTTTTGCTTGCGATCTGGAAAAATTTTAAAAAAAACATTTTTATAATTACCCCCTCCCCAAAATAAAAAACTGAAAACCGTTTAAAAAAAAAAAAAAAAAAGACATACTTTTGCTCGTACTGCTCTTTCCAAAGACATTTTTAAATGTGTTTGTGTTTATAAGAAATTTACTTAAATCTTCTGCTAAACTAACTTCACGGTCTAAATATTAAGATCGACTAAAACAAATTTGATTGAGATTCAAACTTATAAGAAGAAGAAGAAGGAAAAAAATCCCCCCCCCTTTTGCCCCCTCCCATCCCCCCTCCTCCACGCAAAAGAAAAAAAATTCCTCGGATAAAGTTATTTTTGTAATTTTCGTCATTTTTTTTTTTTTTTTTAAATCGCCTACAATGTGTGTTTGTTTACAACACATCCGAAAATGTTCGCATTTTAATAATAAGATAATAATAATAATAATAATAATAATAACGAGCAAGGATTTTTGGAAAAAAAAAAAAATTTTAAACTTAGACAACCTTCGACAATTTTACAAAAAAAAAACAACCTCGACAAATTTTCCAATTTTTTTTTAAAAAAAACCTTAAAAAAAAATTTCATCGGTTGTTGTTGTTATTGTTGTTGTCGTCGTTGTTAATGCCGTCCAATTTTTTTTAATATATAAATTTATCGATAATAATAATGATGATAATAAAAATTTTATAAAGGCGTGAATAAATAGGAAGATGAAAAGATGAAAAGAAAATGTCGTGATCGTACGTACGTTTCCGTTTAAACGTAAAAAAAATGATTTCGTTTTCGAATTTTATTTTATTTTATTTTTTTGTTATAAATGTTTAATAATAATAATAATAATAATAATAATAATACGTCGAACGTTTTTTTCTAGAACGGTATTCTATTACGTTTTTCTATATTTACATTTATATACATATTTTAAAAATAAAATTATAATCATGAGTTGAAAATTTTATTCGAAATTTTCCCTTTTCCCCCATTTTTCTATTTATTTTAAATTTTTTAATCGTTATTAAGTGAATAAATAATAATAATAATAATTGTTTGGGGATGATGTTTTAATAAATAAATAAAAAAAACCGTTCGGAAAAGGCGTTCGATTCGATTTTCAACCGATTATTAAATGCTTAACAAAAATTTTTAATTTTTTTTTTATTGGGGGGGGGGATAAAAATTGATTTAATTCCTGGATAATTTTATTCCAATCGTTCCAGAATTTAATAAAAATTTATTATTATTAATTCGTGATAACAATTTTGATAAGAAACGAAAATTGATGTCGTTCAAGTGGGAAAACAAAAGAGGTCACCCGCGTTTCCATTTTAACTTTTCCTCCTTTTTTTTTTTAAATTTAATTCAACTCCTTACAGATGGCGTAAGTTAGTTTTTTAAATAAAATTATTTTATAAATTTTAATTTTTTAATCGACGAATTTACCCCCCCCCCCTTTACGTGCTCCCCCCTCCCCAAAAAAAAGGAAAAACGATCGATCGTTAATCAACGTGATATTATAAACGTTTTCTTCTTACATAACCTAAACTGGTTAATTTCAAAAATAGGATCAAACCCTTTTTTCGCGTACGAGGTCGAGGCTTTTTTGCGTAAAAAAAAAAATTTTCTTTTTAATTTTTATATAAAACCCACGCGAAAAACATTTTACGACGGAAAATGACGGAAAATTATTTTTTCACCTCGTTACGCTCTTGTGGGTTTTTTTTTATTAAACAAAACCTATTATAAGATACACGCGGAAATGTTTCAAAAAAAAAATTATTTAAAACGATAAATAAAATTTTTTTTTTTATAAATAATAATAATAATAATAATAATAATAATAATGTCTACCGTCCTCAACTGTCTACTCTCCTAAAATTAACGACGCGAATAATAATAATATTAATATTAATAATAATAATAAATATTAAAATAAATTTTTTTCGGTTGATGTCTGTCATTAATAGGTCAACAGATAAAACAACAAAAAAACAATTATTATTATTATTATTTGTTTAATAATTAATTGAAAGACGTATAAGATGAAAGATAATAATAATAATAATGATAATAAAAATTATTAAATAATCGAAAAAAAATTGGGAGACGAATTTAAATTTAAATTTGAATTTTTTTTTTTAGTAAATTTAAAATTTATTGCCCTTTCTTTCTCTTTCTCTCTCTTTCTCTTTCTTTCTTTCTTTCTTTTTTTTTTTTTTTTTTAGTTTTCTCTTGTGAAATCCTTCTTTTACATCCCACGTATTTAATCCAAAAATAATTCCCCGCCAAAAAAAAAAAAATGTTTCATAATCGTCAAACGCACACACACGCACACGCACACACACACAGAATCTAAAAATTAAGTAAGTGACTGATAATGTGAATCATCTTATTATTAACGATAATCCTTAAAATTTAGTCATTACGTAAATTTAAAACAAATACTAATTATTATTATTACTATTACTATTTTTATCCACGGTCTCGTTATTAATAATAATAATAATAATACTATGACTAAATTTAATTAATGATAATAATAATATTTTATTTTTAAAATTCGAAATTTTTTCCCGTGTTGAGAGTATGCGTTTTGATTTATTGGGTTGGCAAATAAGTAAATACGGATTTTACCAACAGATAGTTGTCCATGTTTTGGAGTTTTCCTTTTCCTTTTTTAACCTTTGAAAGGGTGTCCATGCTTCACAAGCCAATAAAGAGTTGTGGGATGTGTAGGGTGATGAAGAAGTCTTAAGAAAAGAGGAGTGCTCTAGGTGTCCAGTAGAGGTCGATGATGACCAAATAAAGGCCATAATTGTTAATGATCGGCATAGTTCGACAAGGGAGACTGCAAAGAACCTAGATGTGTCACATACGTACGTCGAAAACCGTCTGCGGCGTCTTGGGTACCAAAAGAAGCACAGGAGATGAAAAGTGGGTTGTTTAAGAAAACATTTTGAGGAAAAGATCCTGGTTTAGGCAAGGGAAACAGGCACTAACAACTTCTAAGCCTGACATTTACCAAAAAAAGGTAGTTATCATTTTGGTGGGATTACAAAGACATAGTCTACTTTGAGCTGCTGTCACGAAATCAAACCTTAAGTCCAGAGGTTTACATTCGACAATTGACTAATTTAAATAATACCATCCAAGAAAAACGATCGGAGCTAGCCAATAGCAAAGGAATTAATTGTCTTTCACCACCATGATGCCAGGCCCTCCCCATCTTTAGCCACTGAACAAAAACTACTGGAGCTAGGCTGGAATGTTTTGCTGCACCCTCCATATAGTCCCGATCTAGCTCCAAATAATTATCATTTTTTCCGATCACTAAAAAATTTTTTTAACGGACAAAAATTCCTAAACGACAATGAGGTGATAACTGCTCCCAAAAATAAAGAGTTTTATGAAAAAGGGTAAAAATGATACTACCCGAAAAATGGCGGCAAAAGGTTATTGATACTAATGAACATAATATTAATAGATAAAAATAATTTTACATAATTTTCGTGATTACTTTTTTACTAACCCAATACTACTTATCTTACGGGAAAATTATCATACATAAATTTTATAGTTTATTGTTTATTTATTTATTTATTTATAGCAGACGATATTTTACGTTTTTTTTTTTCACGTAAACGATTTTAATTAAAATAGTAAAATAAAATTTATATTGATAACTTGTAAATATTTTTTTTTTTTTTTTTTTTTATATAAACAAATAAATTACCGATGCCATGTGCTGTTGTTGTTGTTGTTGTTTTTAAAGGATAATAATTTTCGTGAGGCCAATGCCAATTATTTTTAGTACGAAGGAAAATTACAATAATGTTATAATAATAATAATAAAATTAATTAAATCGAAGGTAAAAAACGGAGGAAAAACGTGTTGTTATATATCAATCAATCCTCTCGAAAATATTCGTAAATTTTTTTTTTTTTTTTTTTGAAAATTTCGTCGTTTATTTTCGATTTAATAAATCTCTCTATTTAAAAAATTTGCGTTGGTCGAATTTATATTTAGTCCCATGATTAATAAATAAAAAAAATTAAAAGAAAAAGTTTTTAAAAAAGGAAAAAAGGAAAGAAAAAAAAGGAAAGAAACAAACAAACAAACAAACGAAGGGTGATTATATACGCGTGTAAATTTAGAATGTTGACTCATTTCAAACATTTTTTCTATTGTCGTAGATTTTAAAAATAATTTTTTCTATTTTTTTTTCGATGTCGAACAAACGATAATCGAAAATAAATCGATCGATCGATCGATGAATCGATAAATCGATAGATCGATACGACAAAATCAGAAAAAAAATAAAAATCATCAACATCTTTAAAAATTTTTTTTGTCCCAAAAAATATTCGTTGCATTTACAATTATTATTATTATTATTATTTGTTTGTTGTTCGAACGCAACAACAACAACAACAACACGACAAACGCGTTATAATCACGTTTAAATTTTTTTTATTTAAATCGTTTTCGAAACAGAAAAAATGGCTTTCTTTGATTTTTCTTTTTTTTTTTTTTTTTTTTTTTTTTTAAATTCATTTTAAAATCGTTTATACAAATCTTCGGATTAACTAAACATAATCCCCGGATTAAGTTTTTTTTTTTTTTTTAAATAAATATTATTATCCCCGGTGTTGATAACTTTTATCAATTGGATTAACGTAATCAAATCTCAGGTATATAATTTATTATTATTTAAAAATAAGAAAGTAAACAGTTGATTAATATACACAATAGGGGAAATATTATTAACGTAAGTGACGTGGGATCAGAATGTGTGCTTTTTTTTAAATAAACGAATGAAAAATTTAAATGACGAGTCCTAACCATAATCTAACAATGGGAAAATATAATCTTTTTAAAATTAATTTTCACGAAGGGAAATTTTCTTTTTTTGAGAAATTAAAGATGAGAGAGAGAGAGAGAGAAACGTTCGCGCCAACTTCCCCTACTTTACGTTTTTTCATTTTTTTTTTACTTACGAGTTTAACGTATGTGTGTGTGTGTGTGTGTGTGTGTGTGAGAGAGAGAGAGAGAGAGAGAGAGGGAGAGAAAGAGAGAGAATAAAGAATCAAATTTCTTTCATCGTAAATTTTTCTTTTTTTTTTTTTTCCTGTAAATTATGCATGGGTTTTAATTAAAAAAAAAAAAAAAAAGAAAATTTCACCTACACCGGCTTCGATTAATTAATTTATTAATAAAAAAAAAATTAAAAAAAATGGTTTCTTTCTTTTACCGTGACGAAATTTGGCAATCGCGACGATAGTAAAATAACGTATTTTTAATAATTAAAAAAAAATGGCGCCCTTCCCCCCCTCCTCCTCCTCCTCCTCCCCCAGAAAAAAAAAATTTTTAAGAAAAATACCCGGTAGTAGTTGGACTTAAATCGAAAAAATTTATGCATACAACCATATCCGGTTTTGTAACGGTTTACATTTTCATATCGTTTCCGAATATATTACATTCGATTATTATTATTATTATTTTAATAACTTCTCAATCTCATTTTAAATCTAATATTACAAATGATAAAATGATCGAAAGCCAAAAAATAACGCCTTGTTTTTCTATGTGAGTGTGTGTGTGTGTGCGCGTGTACGTGTGCGGATGTGTAAGAGGAAGAAAAGAGAAAATTAGAAACGTGATTCAACAAAACAATTTCTCCTCCAACCAAAGATCACAAAAAAAAAAAAAAAAAAAAATTCAATTTTCATCATAAACTGATGAAGTTTCCTTTGGAAAAGTCAAAATAAAAAAAAAAAAAAAAAAATTTAAAACGTTGCAAAGCGAAACAGAATCAATTGTAAAACTTTAAAATACAAAAAAAAAAAAAAAAAAAAATCATGAATCTATGACTTATCCTACCTTTTTCTCCCTCCATTTTTCCACCATTTTTTTTTTTTTTTTTTAAATCTCTACGACTTGAGCTTATGTGTTCAAACTTGGTCACAAAATCTTGTGAAAAAAAAAAAATTTTTTTTTTTTTTTTCTTCACATCATATTCGAATTATAATATCTCGTGAAATCGGTTCGAACGATTTTATTCTCCTCTCGCATTCCGAAAGCCATCGAACTACAAAAAAACAAAACAAAAAAAAATTTAAATTAATAATATTTAAACGAATTTTAAAAATTTAAGGTAAATTATTATTATTATAATTAATTGTGTTCATTTTTTTTAAAATTTAAATTAAATTTTGTGCAATTTTTACAAATAAATTAATTAAAGTGCGGGAAATTTTTTTTTTCAATTTTTAAGTGAATTTTTTTTTTTTTTTTTTTTTTTTTTTTAATTTTTTTAAAACAAAATGGCTGTAATATAATCTAACGCTTAACGCTTTATTACATTATTATTATTATCATCATCATCATTATTATTAATTGAAAAATAAATAAGTGAAAGGCTAATAACACAGGTTTTGTTTAATATGTGCGCACAATACACACGATAAGTTTTTTTTTTTTTTTTTTCATTAAATCCGAGTTATGGAAAATTGATAACGTATTGATAAGAAATATTATTATTTGTTTATAATAAGAAAAAAAACGGTTATTATTATTATTATTATTATTACTATCGATCTGAAAACAAATTCTTACATATGTGTGTGTGTGTGTGTAATCGAATATTATTTGAACCGTCCACCAAATTTGGATTGGAAATTATAATGGCACCATTTTGCGCATGTGTTAAAAATTGCCAAAAACCATTTTATAAACTGTTGAATTTATTACAAAAAAAAATTTCCGGCATGTCGTCTTTCTTTCATCTCGTATTTCTTTTGTGTTTACGACACATAAATAATAATAATAGTAATAATAATAATAATAATAATAATAATTATTATTATTGTTGTTTCAGTAAATAGACTTTGACAAAATGCCTTTCAAACCGGTAGATCATCCAAAATGTCCCAAATGCGGTAAATCCGTATACGCGGCAGAAGAAAGAGTTGCAGGAGGATTAAAATGGCACAAAATGTGTTTCAAATGCGGTAAGTATAAATCAATCAATCAATCAATCAATCAATAATTATCGATTATTTAAATTTTTTATTATTAATGGGTTTTGTTATGTTAAAGGAATGTGCAACAAATTATTGGATTCGACAAATTGTGCCGAACACGAGGGTGAATTATTTTGCAAAGTTTGTCACGCTAGAAAATATGGTCCTAAGGGTTACGGTTTCGGTGGTGGTGCCGGTTGTTTGAGTATGGATACCGGTGAACAATTCAAAGGCGAATCGTAAGTTTTTCAACCCTTATTTATAATACTAACACGTTAAAAATTACGTGAACCATACCGGTTTTAAATTATAAACAAAAACGCGCGATTTTTTTTTTTTTTGAAATGATATCAAAATGGTTCACTTTTTTTTTTTTTTTTGTAAAAAGAATTTAACATAAATTTTGTTGTAGTAACTCACCCCCCCCTTCCAAAATAGAGGAGGTGTTATCTTTTATACTTATTTTTTTAAAATTATTATAATCGATTTATCGTTAGTCTTGAGGGTAGTTTCCTATATAAAAACTAATTTTTATAAACCGTAATAATAATAATAATAATAGTGACACTATATTAATAATAATAAATAATAATAATAATTCTTACCGATAAGAATGAATTCCAAAAAGACCTTTTCCCAATTCGCACTTGCTTGATGTGCTTCGAAAGTTGCAAGTGGTGGTAATGTTGGTAGTAGTGGTGGTAGTAGTCGTAGTTATAGTTTATATATATATGCAAAAAACATGTATACTGCATGGCCCCTTTTTCTTTATCCAACAGTCAATAAATTTATGGACCTCACAGCTGCCATGACGTACCAGACGCCGCACAACCGAACGCCGCTGCTGGCTACTAGACACCAAACCAAAATCACATCCTGATTAGTATATATATATATAAATAAATAACCTCATCGCTTATTTTATCCAAACAAACAAACAAAAATTTTTTCGATACAAACAAAACAAACAAACAAACAAAAAAACTTTAAACAAAATAAGAAAAAGTTTTATTGTAGGCATGTTGTTGTTGTTGTTAGGTTTAGATTGAACCTTTTTTATTATTTATTTATTTATTATTATTATTATTTCATTTAGTTCATTTTTTTTTTTTTTTTTGGGATTTATTTCTTTAACTAAAACGTAGATTTTACACCCTTAAAAATATTTCGAAAAATAATAATAATAATAATAATAATAATAATAATAATTGAAAAACTTTCTTCTACTACATGCTTAGTTTTCTATTATTACCGTAATAAAAACTTTTTCTTGTTTTGCTTTTTGGTTTTTATTTTTTATTTTATTTTATTTTATTTAAAAGTAATAATAATAATAATAATAATAATAATAATAATTCTTTCTTTCTAAAAAAAAAAAAAATAAATTTAAAAAATTTTTATTTTTTAATTAATTAATTAAATAAATAATAAAATTTTTTATCAAATATAATAAATGGCCTACTCGGTACCTGAACGTCAATAAGGCAAAATCGCGTTATTTATTATCATTATTATCATGATCATTATTATTAATTTTTAAAAAAATATTTATTTATATTTCGATTTGGTAAAAATTTTAATAAGAAAAAAAAACCAAAATAATAATAATAATGAAAATTTTTGTAAGCTATTTTATTTTTTGCTTTTATCATTTATTTATTAATTTTTTTTAAAAAAATATATTATGTAGATTTATTAATTATTTAAATAAATAAATGAAATTTTGCTCTTTGTATTCATCAAAATAATAATAATAATTATTTATTTTATTTTATTTTTCTTCTGCTAATTCTTAATAAAAAAAAAAAAAATTGAAATCAATCAAGATTTTTAAACGAAAATTTATTTCCAATAAAAAAAAATTAATTATCGATCGTATCGCGTTCGTCGAAAATAATAATAATAATAATAATAATACGAATTAGGATGTTAAAAAAGGTGATTAAAAAAGGATGATTGAAAAAAGGGTGAGAAATATTTTTATTCGATATAAAAAAAATTATTTAAAAGCAAAGCTAGTAGCACTTAGTAATAGTAGTAGTTGTAATAGTGATATTATATTGCCAAAAATTAAGCTTCCTATTTTTTCTCTTTCTGCTTCCTCTAACTTGATAAGCATGAAAGCTTTCTGCACTTTTTTTTTCCATAAAATCTTCAGTCATGATGACAAATTTAATAATAATAATAATATTAATAATAATCACGAATGAAGATTTTATAATTAATTAAATCACGTTAATCAAGTGATGGGATAAGGAAAAAACCCTCGAAATATAAATAAAAACGCGACGCGAACATTTTGTTTTTTTTTATTAATATTTTTATTTATTATAATAATAAAAATTTATTTATTTAATATAATATTAATAAATAAATAAATAAATAAATAATTTATGTAACCGTTTTTTAATTATTATTATTATTTTATAAAAAAAAATTTTTGTAAATTTTATGTATAAAGACTACACCTTCTCCCATTACTTATAAAAATTTGAAACTAATTTCGTTTGTTTTCATTTATTTATAGTTATTAATAATTTTTTATTTATTTATTTTTTTGTTTAATAAATAACTTGACTAACCTAATGACTTTTTATTTATTTATTTATTTGCTTTCTTTTTTTATTAAATTAACGTTTTAAATAATAACCTATCTCTCTCTCTCTCTCTTTTGTTTTTTAAATAATAAAATTTTGTTGGTTGTTTGGTTGATTTAATATTTAAAATTGTTTATATTTTGTTTAAATAATTTTCTGGATTTTGATTAGGGATGGACGTAGAAGTGCAAGCGCCATGATGGAACCGAGAGCAATTGCAAGAGCTCCTGAAGGAGAAGGTTGTCCCAGATGTGGAGGATATGTTTATATGGCCGAGCAAAAATTAGCTCGTGGAAGGGTGAGTGTTATGTGTGACGTCATTAAATTAATAAATAAAAATTTTTTTTCTGTTACCTTTCGATATATTGACGTGTTGTCTCAGGTGGGATTTTTTGATGATCCCACGGGAATAAAAAAAAAAAAAATTTGGCGTCGATTCCGTCGTCGTCGTCCTCCTCCTCCTCCTAAAAAAAAAAAAAAAAAAAAAAAAAAATTTCTTTAGTTTATTTTTTACACATTGCATTTGTTTAAAAAAAAAAAAAAAAATTGGATTTATTTCAAAAATTACACGATGCCAAAATACACACACGCACACACGCACACACGCACACACAAGCAGTGAAATATTTAAAATTACATAAAAAAAAAAAGTAATTAATTAGTGCTTAAAAAAATTTTTTTTTTTTAGAGTTGGCACGCGGAATGTTTTAAATGCGGGTCATGTTCGAAACGACTCGATTCCACCAATTGTTGCGAAGGACCCGATAAGGATATCTACTGCAAAGGTAATAAAATTCTTCTTTTTTTCCATACAAAACCACAATAATAATAATAATAATATATTGTACAGCTTGCTACGGTAAAAGATTCGGTCCGAAAGGATATGGCTACGGACAAGGAGGAGGTGCTCTTCAAAGCGACGATTACATGAACGGGTAAATATTTAATTTAGAAAAATTTCCACGAAAGTTAAATTCCTATATATAAAAAAAAAAAAAAATGGTTGTTTTTTAGTTACGCCCCTCGTACGACTGTTATCGATACGGCTGTAATTAAGGCACCACCAGGTAAAGGTTGCCCAAGATGCGGTGGTGTCGTATATGCTGCCGAACAAGTTTTAGCAAAAGGACGAGTAAGATTTTTTCTTCTTCTTCTTTTAATTATTTTGGATGTTGTTTTGAATGTTTTAAAATTTTTGTTTGTTTCCCCCCCCCCCTCAGGAATGGCATAATAAATGCTTCAAATGTAGAGATTGTTCAAAAACATTGGATTCGATCATTGCATGCGATGGACCCGACAGGGATGTTTATTGCAAAACATGTTACGGTAAAAAATTTGGTCCTCACGGATATGGTTTCGCTTGCGGTTCTGGATTTTTACAAACTGATGGTTTAACGTAAGATTCCAAAACTTTTCCTTTTTCATTACTTGAATAAAATATGGATTTCGAATCGATTGATTAATGTTTAGGGAAGAAGAAATCCAAGCTATGAAACCATATTACAATCCTGATACAACTTCAATCCCGGCACCAAAAGGTCAGGGTTGTCCTAGATGTGGTGGAGCCGTATTTGCAGCCGAACAACAACTTGCTAAAGGAACTGTAAGTATTTTTTTTTTTTTTTATTAAATATTATTTATTTAATTATTATTATTAATAATAATAATTATTTTATTATAAAGATGTGGCATAAAAAATGCTTCAATTGCGCCGATTGTCATCGACCATTAGATTCGGTTCTCGCTTGTGATGGCCCAGATCGTGAAGTTTATTGTAAGGCTTGCTATGCTAAAAAATATGGACCAAAAGGATTCGGTTACGGTCACACACCCACTTTAGTATCAACCGAAGGAGAATCAACCATTTGCTAGTGAGTATTAAAACTCCCCAAAAAAAAAATTTTCTTTGTTTGTTTGCTTTTTAAACAAAAATTTTCCTTTTCCTTTAACAGTCCAGAATCAAAACCGAAAACTGGTTTTCGAGGTAATCAACCTAACTGTTGTCCAAGATGTGGTTTTGTAGTTTATGCAGCCGAACAAATGATCAGTAAAAACAGGGTAAATATTTCTTCTTATTCTTATCACTCCATCTTTAAAATACCCGTACAGGTATTGATAGAAGAAATTTTTTTCCTTTTAAGGTTTGGCACAGAATGTGTTTCGTTTGTGCCGATTGCAGAAAATCATTAGATTCGACCAATTTAAACGATGGACCAGATGGTGAAATTTATTGCCGAAGTTGTTACGGTAGAAATTTCGGACCGAAGGGAGTCGGATTCGGTATGGGAGCGGGAACTTTATCAATGGCTTAATTATTATACCATAATCGAATATTAAATAATAATAATAATAATAATAATAATAAATTTAGCAAGCGTCAAATAGTAACGACCCGAATAAAAAAAAAAAAAAAATGTGATTTTCAAATGTAAAAATTCGATGTAATCACACGCGACTTGACGACTATACTACTAATACAATAAACGAATAAAAAATTTAAATTGAAATTTAAATTTAAATTAAAAACTAATCATTGTAAAAATCCGTTTTTCGATATATCGAAAGGAATCGAAACGATTTCAACGATTTAAGGAAAATACAAGAGAAAATGGAGAAAATTTTGAGGTTTGCCCAACGAATACTCAAAATTTATTTACACCACACGCACACACACACATAAGCTAAACATTATTAAATTTACAAATGCTAACGGAAAATGGATTTTCATTATTATTATTATTACTACCATCATTACATCGTATTTCCCCCCCCCCCCCACGTGTCTTATGAAAGACTCGAAAAAATTATTCGTAAAAGGTTTAATATATATAAAATACCTGTCACGAACCTTTTTTTTTTTTTTCTCATTTGTATGATTCAAATGATTTCACCCTAAATAATTATCATTATTATTATTAATAATATAGTTAATAAGTCTCGTTAATTAATTAATAAGTTTTTTTCTTCGTTTAAAAAAAAAAAAAAAAATTAGATTTAATTATTAATTTAAATGTTTAACTTATGGAAAATCGCTTGCTTATTTATTATAATCGAAACGCTCGAATTTTTTTTTTTTTTTTTTTTTTAACTTTAATTTATTTTTAATTCGAAAGTGCAGACGAATTCGAAAATAATGCACGAAAATATTATTATTATTATTATTATTTTAGTATTAAAATTCGATAAGCGGACCGACTTTGATAATAATAATAATATTTACCATATTCGTTTTATACGTAAAAAAATTTTTTTTTTTTTTAAATAACTAAAATCATTTTGAGATTATATATATGTGAGACGGCGATGATGATGATGATGATGATGATGATGATGATTTATGTATCTACTACTAATAAATAAAAATTATTATTATTATTATTATTATTAAAATACGAGTTAACGTTCGAGTATAAGGATATTATTATACTCAAGTATTAGAACATGTTTTATGTGTGTGATAATACCGAATCTATAACTCGTACCCCCATCGATAACCCTAATACGAATTAATATTATTATTATTATTATTTAATTATAAATTTGTCATTTCACGATTATTAATTTTACCACTTTATGAAAAATAAATATATATGTATAAAAAACAATAAAATAACCGATTAATATTTAAATCATGACATTACTTCACATACTCTTCAATCAATCAATCAATCAATCAATCAATCACGGATCATTTTTTTTTTCTATCGTAAGGAATTCGTAATTTAAAAAAAAAAAAAATTGTAAAAAGAAATACCTGAGTACGAAATGAAAATCTTTTCAATGGATAATAATTACAAAACGATCGGATAAAATCTCCGTCTGTAATAAAAAAAGTAAAAAAAAAAAAAAAAACATTTAATAATAATAATAATTATTTGGGCACACACTTAAATCACGTGAACAAATTAGTAACAAAAAAAAAAAAAAATACAAAAGAAAGAAAGAAGACATAAGAATATACAAAAAAAAAAATAGATTTACAGTAGTAGTAGTAAAAAAAGTACTTAATTTTTTTAAAATCATTTTCCACGGTTCTCGCACGTGGTATTTAAATCATTTGAATTTTCACCGAATGAATATTTTATTTTTAATCTTTCTCTTATCAGCAAACCCCTTATCAAACGTCTCCAATTACCGTAAATAATTTTTTCCCTCTTTTCTATATTTCTTTTCGTCGACTCGTCGATTTCCTGCACACAAAAAAAATTACATTAATTACATTAAGGATTTGCATCTTAAAATAATTTTTTTTTTTAAATCGAGTTTTAACCTTATTCCAAGTGTCCAGTAAAACATCTTTAAATTCTTTACAAACTACGAAACCGTCAAAAACGGGATGTGAACCTCCTGAATGATATTCAAATCCTACGGTGGCAGGAACGCAATCGATTCCAAGTTTTCTAGCGACTTTATTCAGTGCCGGAACTAAAACAAACACCCAAATTTTAGCTAGCCCTAACAAATATTTTTTTAAAAATAATTTTCGTACTTTGAAGATGAACGGTTCCGATAGGCAACATGCACGGTTTGAATAAATCAACATTTCCGTATTCGTTCCTTGGAACTTTACCATCTACTGCAATCGGAGGAATGTAATCTTCTGTTTGCCATCGACCGAATAATTCCAAGGGTAAATCTGTTTTGATCTCGCCAGTCATCTAAAATAATAAACAATTTGTTTAAAATTTTTTTTCTTTATAAATCCAAAGAAAATGAAGTAATACTACTAACTTTGTCGTATTTTGGTCGAGCTTTAACAATTTTATAAGGTTCTTCGTTTACACGAACCAATCGAGCTTCCTTATACCACATTTCTCTCGAGTGTAAAGTAAAAACGCATTCTCTAGCATAGACAGCCTCCCCACGTACGAATCCTAACGTCGGAGCATCCGGAGGATAAATGGCTTCGAATTTTAACAAATGTCTTTTTAATGCATACAACGGATGGTTTTTAAATCTGTAAAGAAAATAATTTTTGTTATCGAGTTAACAAATAAATTATAAGCGAGTTTTAAAATTTTATTAACTCTGAAATTGAACAGGGTAAAGGTTGATCGTGAAGTTGACGCATTATATCTTCATCTTCTTCTTTATCCTGAGCTGTTTTAGGAGGTAAATAAGGTTTCATCGTATCATTCCACCATTCATCATCTACTCTTTTTTTTCTAGTATCAGAATGCCAATGAGGTACATATCTTTTTGTAACATCTTTTAAGGTTGAATCGTTATTACAAGCTATAATATAAGTGATCGGATGAGTTGCTCTACTCTAAAATATTAAAATTACTCAGTGAAGCAATCCATTTGGCAGAAAATTTTGATATTTCATGTGGCTTATGAATACAAACTTACATATAGTTCATTTATGCAATGAATTTTTTGTCTGGGCACATCGACACTTATCCATTTTTCTTCATCTTCTACAAAAACTTCTGCCCACACATTGTTGTCTTCTTTTTTTTTTACATTTTGAGTTTCCTCATTTGAAGAAGTTGATGGTTTATTTAATTTTTTTTTGTTATTTTTTTTAAGCGATTTAAAAACATTTTCATCATCATCGGAAGAAATTTCAAATTTTTCTTCGCTGTCTGTCGTTTTTTTATTTTTTCCTGTTTTCGAACGTTTGCTGGTGGTATTGTTTTGAGATTTTTTAGATGAATTCTTCATTTTTTTTTCTTCTGGAGCATTTGTCTTTGTTGTATTTTCAATTTTTTTTAAATTTTTTACTTTCGATGAATCACTTGACTTGCTATTTTTTTTATCAGTTTCCATTACTGTTTTATTCGTATCCGATTTACTTGCATCAGATTTATCAGATTTATCAGTAACCTCAGATGATTTACTTTTTTCTGTACTCGGCCTACCAGTTTTACAATCGAATAAATCACTTGCAGGTGGCCTGATTGGAAGCACTTGAAATGACATAACAATTCTTACTTTAAGCCCTAAGATTCTAAGAAAAATAATAAATATTAATACAAAGTTTTTAAAAGAATTTGTTTCTTTTTGTTTAATTTGACACATTAAAGTTTCCAATAGGCTGCTTTTATCATCACTGACAGGTTCACTTTGTGCTGCATTTATACTAAATGTTTTATGAAACCACTTTAAAATACCTTCTAAGTAACTTAAATCTGCATGCTTGGGAGGATACAAATTTTTTGATTTAATTAAAACAATGCAAGATTCCATCAAAGAGGAAGAATTTAAAACATTATTAACAAATTTAACATGAGCTATCCAGCACAAAACATGAACTTTGTGCATTAGCAACTGAAGGCCCTTTTTAACTCTATTCATTTCTCTTTTTATAACTGCTTCAGCATCAAAACCTTTGCTTTTTCTTTTAAAATTAGGCATTTCAACGGTAATGTTAACTCCTTCTTTAGGTATATCAGGTTGTTTGATTTCTGAGCATTTAACTTCTTCAAAATCACTGTCTTCCGATCCTGATGACATTGTCGAATTTTCAAACTCCATCATTCTGCAATTTTCACCTAAAGCCAATAACTGAGCAACATTCATATTGCTAGTGTCTTCTACCTTGACACCTTCTTCTTTTGATTCTTCTTTATTTTCTTTGACGTCTTTTTTTGGCAAACTTTTTCTTTTATTTTTATCTTCATTTCCTTTTTTAAATTTCGGTGATGATGAATGAGACTTATCGTGAGTATCTTTAACTTTAACAATTTTTCGGGGGGAATTTTCTTCGAGCTTTTTCTTTTTTTTGGCGGTAGAAGCATTCTGAATTGATTCAGAAGTATCCCTGGGTGACAATCTCTTTCTTAATTTTGGAGACATTTTGATAATCTTTTAAAAATAATCCCATCTAGTCATCTTTTTTATAAAGAACTGCATTTAGTCACAAACATAGAGCAAAATAACTTAGTATTTAATTAGTTATAATTATAACGAAAAGTATTATTGAGTTGAAGTTAAACGAGCACCGCCATGTTTTCTAATCCCACGTTAACTTCCGACACCGTATTAACGTACTTATTTTAATCTGTAACATATTTCAAAATAATGCGTGTAAAATGAAAGAAATTATTCGTATTAATTAGTTTAATTTACATTGTCAATTATTTTTTTAATCAGTATGAAAAATAAAGAAGAATATCCCGATAATGAAATTTTATTCACTGACTTTTGCCATAATTTAAATAAACAAATACAGTATATAAAGTTGGGAGGTATACAAAATAATGTTTTTTTTTTTTTTTAAATATTATTATGAAATACTCGATTTTTAATGCCGTTAATATTATACATGGGATTAATGATTATCCAAAATAAATTAGTCGATACTTATTTAATTTTAGATGATTTAGACCCAGTGGAAATTTATACTAATAACCTAACTTATTGGAGCAGTTTTCAACATATCAAATCTTTAATAAAAGATATATTTTTACCCAAGGGATATCCTTATTCTGTGAGTTCAGATTATTTAGAATATCAAATATGGGATTTTTGTCAAGCATTTTGCAGTTCGATTTGCGGTACATTAACCGTTCGAGCTGTAATGAAAGGTATTGGGGTGGGTTCGAATGTGGCTACTCCAATGTCAGCTGCACTTACATGGATTATTAAAGATGGCACTGGAATGATTGGGAGTATAATGTTTGCATGGTTGAAAGGGTAAAGAAATTAAAAAATATTATATAATCATTAAAGATGGATAAGATATTATTATTTTTGTGAAATTATTATAGATCAAAATTAGACTCGGATTGTAAAAAGTGGAGATTATTTGCTGATATATTAAATGACATAGCCATGTTTATAGAATTAAGTATTCCGATAATTATGGATTATTCAATGTACATGTTATGTGCTGCTACTATTTTTAAAGCATTGGTTGGTACTGCTGGTAGTTCGACAAGAGCTGCAATAATTACCCATCAAGCCGTTAAAGGAAATACGGCTGATGTGTCAGCTAAAGATGGCAGCCAAGAATTATTTACAAATCTTTTGGGATTTATATTTGGTATATTTTTATTAAAAAATGTAAATGAATCTAAGTAAGAATATTTTTTTTTATTTCTCACCGGGTAAAAAGTTCAAAATTTATAAGTATAATTTTTATTTAATGTTTTAGTCAAGTTTGGATAGTGATGTGTACGGCAACGATATTTCATTTAATATTTAATTATAAAGCTGTTAGATGCTTGAAAATAAATGTTTTTAATGGAGAAAGATTAAGACTTACCCTTCTCTCTTATCTCCCTACATCATGTGTGCCCACGATAGAACAAGTCAATAGAAGGGAGCCTGTAATCTTAGGATGTGGAACATCTGATTATCAATTGTGCGGTTTTAAAATCAAATTTGGAGTCAGCGTGAACAAAGCTGTAAAATCAGAAAAAATGACAAATCAACAATTATCAACATTAGCAAATGTATTTCAAAGCAAAAAATATTTTATTATAATACAATTAAAAAAAAAAATAATAAATGTGGCATTTCGTAAACATTTTTCCGATATTGATGTACTCAAAGCATATTTTCATGCTATAAAAATGGGAATAGCTATTTCGATAATTAATTCAAATTTTGAATTGGTCAGTTTTATAATTAAAAACTTAAAAATAGAATTTAATCCTAATGAATTATTAATAATAATTTAATAAATTTAATACTTTATAGCAAATTATAAAAAGAAGCAGAAAAAATTCACCCATTTACAGATTGAGAAATCATTTAGAAGATATTTCGAATCAGGATGAAACATATTCGAGTCAAAAAAATAATTTGATATTAAAAGCATATATTTTTTGTGAAAATTTAATTGATAAAGAATTTTTTGCTTTTTCCAATTTGTGTTTAGAAGAAGGATGGAAAATAGATAAACATTTAATTAATGTAGATGATTGGAGAGGCGATTGGAAATATATTGTTCCAGATAAAAGCGAAGCACTAAATAAAAAATTACAAGTATTCAATTATTATTATTATTATTTACACGTTTTTCCAGAACAAAAAAAAAAATACGTTAATGTAAATTTAATTCTATTTTTTTTTTTTTTTTTTTTTTTTTTTTTCATTTTTAGAAAAGAAATGAATATAGACAAGTTGAAAAGAAAAAATCAAAAGTGACAGATTTTTCAAATTTAATCATATCATAGGTGGATATATATTCATCATCATTTATTCGACAATTAATCAATTTTTAATATTGTTTATGAATTTGATAATTATAAAATGCCTCATGAACTTATTAATTTAGTTTTGTATTATTCAATTTGATTACGAAAAACAAATTTTATTTTTAAATAATAAAATATTTATGTATATTTTAAACCTGTACCTTATTTTATAATATTAATGCCACAAAGAAAAGAAATATTACAAAAAAAAATTTTTAATTTCATTTATTTAACAAAAAAAAAAACATGATAAAACCTAAAATAAAATAAATTTACAAAAATATTCTTATAAAAAATTATATATATTTTTTTTCTTTTTCAGTGCTTTTTATTCACTTATAACTTACACTAATTACTTTGAATAGTATTTTCATTAACCGGTTTACAACCTGTTTGCGAAAGATGTTTAACTATGTCTACCCAATTCCAACCTCTAGGTTTTTCACCTTTAGAACCTACTCTATCCCACTGTCTCCTCTTTTGAGCTTTTGTCAAGTGTTCTTTTTTTGTCGTTTCTTTTTTCATTTCGCAATTTTCCTTAAAAATAAAAATATGAATTATATATAATTCAGAATAATAATAGATGAGCTGTTAATAAGTAAATTAAGATTGAAAATTAACTATTATGTCTTACTTGCTCTGAAATTCCCAATTTTAATGATGATTCATTATTTACACATTTATTAACAATTATTTCATTTGTAAATTCAATTTCTTTTTCTTTAACAAATTCGAATAAGGTATAAGTCATTGCAGTACCTAAATATAATTCAGCCTCTTTCAGTAGCGCATTGGCAATTTTTTCTTTAACATCTGATGATCTAAAAATAAGTCGTATGATTTCAGGTAAAAATCAACTAAAAAAAAAATAAGTAAAAATATTTTGCAAAAAAAAAAATTACAGGTGATCATTATAAAACGTGTTCATATTTATTTTCGGTATTTCATCCGGATAATTTTCAGTCCAAACGACTTCAACTAAAAAAGATTTCGAATCATTTTCTTCACCGTATTTATATTGATATATTGTGGGTGAAATATCTCTAAATTTATCATCACCATCGTATATCGAAAGTAAAACCTCTCTTTCTTCTTCTTGAAGACCACAATTAGACATCCTATAATTAAAATTTAACTTTAAAGAATTTTTTAAATTTTGTAATAAAAATCAATCGGTATAAAATTAAAATAATTAAACTCACCTTATGTATATAATTAAACAATATAAAACTCTAAACTACACTTTTAACATATCACTATTAAAAAAAAATATACTTAAAACAAAATAAAAAAAAAAAACAATATAAATCACATAATCAACAAAAACCGAAAATTATCTCCATCGACGCCATTTTGAATCGGTCGCCATTTTTTTTTTTAAAAGGCGGTGGTTAAATGCAACAGGTCTCCGCGATATTTAAAAAATTCGAAATCGGTTATGCGTATTTTTAAAAACGGTTTTTTTCAAATTTCCCTTAAATTTTTATTAAGTGTTATCATTAAAAAAAGGTTTTATTTTCTAAACGTATTATTTAGTTCAGTGAGTTTTAATTAATAATACGGGGGGAGGGGGTTTCAAATTCGAAAAATGTTAAATTTCTAAATTATTCCCTATATAAAAAAGGATTGTAAAATATTACATGATAAAACATTCCCCATAATAATCCAGAAAAAAATTTGTGGAAAATTCAAAATGAATTCTTAATTTTGTTATTCAAACGATTTTCTTTACGTTCACATTTTTGACAAGTATTAATTCGATTATAAATTAAATCAATAATCATATTTTTCAATATATATTCGTATATATAAATATAAACTTACTGTGGTATGTATGTGTGCGTGTGTGTGTGTGTATATCCTAAATATATGAAAACATACGAGTTTTATCTTCATGTTCAGCCAACCACTTCCTTATTATTTTTAATCAGTGTTGTGTGCAGTACTGCATAAACCAGCTTGTTTTAACATCGTCATTTTATTGTTCAGTTTTGAGTTTCATACAACTAAAAAATAGGAAAAAAAGATTATTGTTAAAATTTTTCTAGATCCTACA